CAAGCTTTTTGTTTTACTAAATGAAAGGGTAATTTATTATGAAGATCGACGCTTAGAAATTTTCCCGACAAAACAGGTGATACAAAGTTATTATTCATAATAATACTGCAGTGAAAAACAAGAAGCTTTGTTATTGAAATTTTGTTTTGATCAGCAATCGCCATAAACTTGGCGTTATAAAGATGGCAGATAATTCGACTTCATTAACATTTAATAGAAACCTTATACACTCCCCGAATTAAAATCATTCTCGTCAGTCAGTTTAAAAAAGTCTTGGATCGAAGGAGATGAAATCGGCCGTTATTGTCACTGAAGACGGTTTTGATTTTTTGAGATGGTTTGATACACATTTTAGTTTATAAAAACTTCATGTCAAATGATAATTTTCTGGTCATACGAGAAAAAAAAATTTTAATATTTGTTTTCTGTCTTAATTGTTACGCATCGCATGCAATTATTTTGCATATCAGGAATATTTATCTATACTATAGGACGCATATTATCAGAGTAATTCCCGAATTCATTTCCAAGATGTTTAATTGCAAGCCCACGTTTTACGCGACCGATTTCCATCTCTGCAAGAACTCACAGTCTTGCGCATTATATAAATCAGTCTTATATAGGGATATTTCAGTTTTATTGTACAAACTTTTGAGCGTCCTATATAAGTAAAAAGTCGCTTTTTGTTTTGATCCCATGCATAAACGTTGATAGTCATATATTGTCATTTTAGATGGGTTTTGCCTCAAATATCTCGTATATTTGCCATTAATTCTGTATAGTTTGTACGAAACCACGCATACATTATATTAATTAGGCTGCTTTAGAGCATCTAGGTAGGTCGATAAAATGAAAAAAATTGAATACTCGATACTCTGTAAAGACAAGGTAATATTTTACTTCTTAAGGGGAAAGTAACTGGTATAAGGTTGTTGAAATATTGATATGAACAGGATAGAAAAATGTCGTGTCGCCCACATTGTTCTAAGTTGTTATCAACATCGAACAATATTGCTACACCCGGTTCATTTTCAACTATTGTTCGATGCTGTTGACAAGTGTTAAAAATACTGACCGCACAACATTGTTGCATGGCGCAGGCTCAGAGTTTTCAGCTGTGTAGTTCTGAAGTAGTATATGTTATGATCAACAGAATCAAAGCTACACTTGATTTATTGGCACGGCACATCTAAAATGGGTACCCGTGCCCATTTCATTGGTACCTATTTTCGCCTTGCCGTGTCAATGATTATAACAGTAGTGTATAACGATATTCTACCATCAATTTTCTTGTCCAAGATGAGTTTCCCGTCCTTAATATAAATTTGGCTAAATTACCATTCACATCCACGATCAATTTCGGAAGAGCTTCGTTTCGTCAGTATAAACTTCGTTTTTCAAAATTTTTTCTCTCGGAGTTTTTACTATTAATTGTTGGTACCCCATGCACTGCAAGCTTTGGAACGAGACCGCCAAACATATCAATTAGGCATGCTTCATGTCTCAGGATATAGCCGGAATTTACAGGTCAGTGAAACTCAACAATTGACTCTCGAGTAGCGTCATTTTTGCATTAATTTTTCACCTGTTTTCAACTCTTTGTTACTCTTTGTTACATTTGGATATTGGAGCAATATTCACTTTACAGCCCGGAATTCAACGCGTCAAAGAGCTCCCCCGTGATCGTGTGCGTCATGACTATATAATGACAGACTATAGTATTTAGGTAAAACACATATGTGCACGACAACTTGAAAACTTCTCCCCATCATTCAACCAAGTGGTCGACGTGAAAGGAACTCCTCATTTAAAAAACGCATCTTAAAACAGCCGAGATTAAATGAATGTATAGCACGCAACCGAGACTAGGCTATATATATTATACTATTTCGGCCGATGATGAAGAATTGATGCAGAATTGTTATCAAGTTTAAACATATTTCAACACACTGTTGCAGCTTGTTTAAAACAACTTTGTTTGTGCATGGATGGAGCACAACATTGCTCAGTCCTGTTTTCATCAAACGAGAATAAGGCCCGTTCCAGACGTCGAACTTTTCATGTGCCGAATCGAATGCAAATGAACTTAAACAAAGGCTTTATTTCATTTGCGTTAGGTTCGGCGCATGAAAAGTTCGACGTCTGAAACATGCCTAACTTGTTCGTTTTCAGTATTACCATGCAGTGAATCACTGAATCACAGAGTCATTTAACGTGTACAGCACATCGTCAATAGAGAGGTTAAGATACCCCGTTTACGAGTACGGGTAGTCGGTACACGTACCCGTATACCACGGAAACTATTTTATTGATCCATTCAGAAAATAGTAACTTTCCCTTTTGATTGTGTGTCATACTAGATTGTTAACATTTTGACAAGCGTCTGCGCATTATTTTTTTGGTGAAATGTGAAAGTTTGTGCAATTTAAACGGTCATAAATAGTAAACATACAATACCCGTACACGGTTGTGTTTACGTGTAGGCCATGGTTCATCCCAGGGAAACGGATGAAAATTACGAGTAAAGACGCTGACATCAGCAGAAGTCAGTAAACAAGATGGCGATACACGTGCACAGGAAGAACCGGTGTGTCTTAATCTCTCCTTTGTCACAGAATACGTGACACTCTGAGGGGTGGGAGGGTGTTTGAGAGAGCTTCTCAGGGAGTGGCTGGGTGTCACGTTTATCACTATTAGATCTGTAGTGGAACGGAGGATATATGCATGGTTCAGGGTCACGTAATTTTTGAAGGCGATATTATAGGATATTGGACTTCTAATTTGGTGAGCAACTGAAAGATTTATAAATGCCTACCAAAACATAACTTGCACAGAAGATTTGAAGCTTGCACAAGGTATCTTGCACCACGAATCGACTTCGTCTCAATTAATGACTAGTGTTTACTTTAAGCATCAAAATGGCCATTTCACAGCTGTCAGATGTGTATGATGAGCTGTCAAAAGATTGCAGAATGCGTATTCTCATGCAGAGGGAAAATTGAACTTTTTTAACCTCGATAGTTTTGTCTTTGATATTGTTACAGAAATGCACAATTGTGAACCAGTGTTTAGATTTTCGGGTGGAAACTTCATAAAAACCAATTTCTACGCTGTTAGGTCACAGAGGGGTACAACAAAATGGCTAAAAGAACGTCCCATGTATATATCGTAAACGACTCAACTCATTATTCATTATTGACCTAATATAGCATGCGGCATTTTATACGGCATTTTTTGTGGACATAGGAATAACTAGGATTAAGATTTCACTTGTGATTAGGTTCAATTAGACCAGACTAGACCTGTCAGTGATATATTAGTATATAGCTATTTTATATATGTATATATTTCTTTCTTTAGACAACTGAGCATGCCATTGCCATGAAACTCTTGATAAGTGATATTCATACTGTTATGTTATTCTCCAGCCGCAGCATTATTATAATTCTTATAAAATTCTGTGTCCAAAATTGCGTTGCAGTATAGTTGCAGGAATTTGCCCTGTAGGCTGTACCTGACATTGGATGAACTACTGTCATAATTTAAATTTTCATCACGTTCGTTGACTTCGCTCATCCTAAGCTCACAATATCGAGTTTCCGTTTAGTTTTTATTCTAGGCAACCTTGCATACATTACCGATGCCTATTGGGGTTGAAAGTTTAATTATAAGTGCATGAGGTGTATAGCCAGCTTATGACCGATTATACAGGGTTTACATATTCCAAATTAAACGAAAAAAAGTTCAGTTGTCATTTGAATATGCAAACCAGAAATTAATCTATACTCCCATGCACGGGTTGGTGACATCGCTGGTGACTTCATGATTTCCATTCAACGTTATTCCTATAAGTTACTTCAGTTACTCGTTTACATGAACATTTTTAATGTATTTTGGGATATCATGCGAGTTGCGTAATGTCAATAAGCTGCATGCAAATATTTGGAGTCATATTCCAACATGAGGTGATAATGGAGGATCTTACAAAGAGATTGGTTTTTCTCGGAATCTTTATTATGTTATTCGTTTTTCGTTTATATATATATAATAAGGAAACTTATTGTTCGTCAGAAATGATACTCATATTGTAATCTGTATTAATTTCAATCAATTAGGCAACGAAAATCTCAATGTCATTTAAGTCATTAGAAGCGTATAGAGTATTAGACTAATTCCGGAAAATATTCCGGAAGTTCTTAGCTTTTTCGAAAATTTGAAAAAAAATGCCAAATGTCTTTTTAGGGCAAACTGAGGTGTTTTAAGGCCAGCGATATTGGCTTAAATTTCAAACTGCTTAAACATTTCATATACTGTCTGAATACCACGCACATACCATTTAGATTTTGACAAAAATCCGATATGAACTAAAGAATCTTGGACATATAACCCGTTGAGGCATGTAGGAGGATTTTCACATTCTTATAATATCTTCATTTTTATGATAAACTCTGGCGGAGTAAAATCCTACTGCCTCTCCTGAATCGGCGCACGCTTCTCAACAGGATCCACTCAATCATTGAGGAAGAATCAAAATATCAGTTTGGTTTGTGACTCAATGCTCTGATTTTATCGTGGCGAAATAACTAAAAATTATTCCGCGCGGTTTACAAAATTTGGCGGCCATAAAATTTTTTTGTTTTGTGGTTGTGAATTAACTTTGGAATTTTAGCAGAATTGTTCTTAATTAAATTGTAAAACGGTCCATTTCTCATGAGAGAAATCAGAAAAATGTGAAATCTAAATATAGGCAGTCTTTAAATAATTTTGCTTTACACTGATGCATAAAACACTTCGCCTCACAACAACTCGAAAAGAAACTCGTTGTTTTTATTTCACTCAAAGGCCTTACACACTAAAAAACTTCGCCTAGTTTATGACCCTTGAAATCGGATTCAACTGCGAGAAATTTCTCTCCTTTTGGTCAGCCTTGAGTGTAAAACGAAGTAGGAAAAATAGCACAGTTGACAAGTTTTTTAAAATTTTAACAATTCGATGAACTTACCCCCCACTATACAGCTCTAACAATAAATATCCGCTGAAAGTTTTTTTGTATGGAGTGTGTACGTCATTACACCCGCACTGCTGCAAGCTACATACGTCAGACTCGATAATATTGATTAATTGATATATCTTTTCGATCAAATATGAATACCACAAGAATATACCGCAAACATGCAAGAATAGAGCTATAGCTATAATTGAGCCCACAAGATTGCTCGTATACTAAGAAACGTGACGGGAAATTAGCGAATGAAAAATGCATGCGTGAACGAACGACTATACACGCGTGGAGTTCCTCTTCGTCCACGCGCTTTGCTTCTTAATAGATAATCCAGATATAAATCGTACATTGATATTTGAGAACAATCAGACGAATCAGTATGCTCCACTGTAATATCAGTCTAATGTATATTATCGTCTCTCGGTAATCTAACCGTGGCAAAGCTGATCTAGGATGAATATATGCGGTAAACTGTTCTACCCTTGCTGTCAATATAAAGGCAATTAGAATATTAGAAGTTACAATTCGCAAGCGTTGTTGGATTCAATTAAAACGCAGCAATGTTTGCCTGGATTGTTAGGCACACGAGTATTTACATGTTCGTAGCAGGAGCTATTTTTCTTGAGATAGCGACAGATGCAAGTCCCACAGGATTTCCATACAAAGGTAGGCTATATCTAGATCTTTTGTTTACCTGATATAGTATCATATTTATGTATGTTACCCGCGTGTCTTGTTTTGTGTATTCTTCGCAACGCCAGCGAATAGCTTGCACGTCGAAGGTCATTTAAGACAGGTCAGACGAGCAATTTAAACGTTCATTATATGATTTAGTTGGGATTAAGCTTAGCTGGCAGTAATTGTCTTTTCGAAGACTTCACATATCGACATTTTGAGGTTCAAAAAGACTGTATTTTGTAGCTTCGTAGGTCACAAAGTTAAACAATCGGTCACGGTGGTCTGAGTAAAATGACTGTAGCCATATGATGCTTTTATTGTCATCGCTTCCCAAACAAAAACCCCATGTTGACTTTTGACAAAGTTTAAATGAGATGTAAGCAAATAAACAGTGGGGAGAAAATGGAGCAATGTACAGGGTGCTTATACGTACACGAGAAGACATCTCAAAGTAATTTTATTTTCGCGTTTCATCAATTGCAATTCACAATCAAACATTATGCTGTGTCTGTAATTAATCTTGTCTGCACATTTAGCAGCATCGCTTTAAAATGTCCTCGGCGTGCTAGCTTGTATTGTTCTTGTCTGTATTTGCCTGGACCTGAAAAAGTTGATAATTGTCAACTAGGTTGAAATTAGAAATGCAACTCTTCCATCGGGGACAATCACACACACAGAGTTATACAAACCACGCGCAATTAAGAACACCCGTCTGGCGGTGTGAATACATTGAAACGAATCGTTTCTGACTTTTGTAATTTCTCTATAGTGTGCCCGGGACGACAAAAAGAAGTAGGGACAAGATTGAATAAGAAAAAAGGGAAATATTATTGCCTCGGTTGTGACGAGTTGCGAAATTGCACAAGCGTGTTTGGAAGTGTTCATCTCAAGGGGATAACATTTAATGACAGAAATAAACATTTACGCGAAGAATTGCGGTTTCCAGAGCTTCGAGAGATCACTGGGCATCTAATTGTCACATTTGTGAACGGTGATACAAGCCTGAGTGATATTTTCCCAAATTTGGCAGTCATACATGGCAGAGTTGATAGTCTTTTCGAAGGGTACTCCTTGGTCGTTTATCAAAACAAAGGGCTTCGAAACTTAGGATTGAATTCCTTAACTGTCATCAAACAGGGCGGAATAAAGATTGAATTCAATGAGAAATTATGCTATTTGGATCAAATACGATGGCAATCCTTGAGAAATTATGGAGGAGCTAAGAAATACGAGTTGAGTCTAAAGAGAAATTCGAAAGACTGTTTTGCGCAGTGCTCAAGTATTTGTCATACGCCAAGTGGCCATGGATCATCCGGTCACAAGTACTGTTGGGGAAGAGATACAAAACAGTGTCAGAAATGTGAGTATTTCTGAGAGTTGTGTCATCTTATTTGTGTGAAATATTCTTATTGTCTGGGAGACCTTTTAACTCTTTGTCTTTATCGATTTGTCTGATAATTTTAATAAGCCAACTGTAGGTTGATGGACACTAGAACATGCTCTTACGATGTCCGGCTTATTCTCATTAATTAGTTTTGACATGTGATAAACAGCTTGATAAAACATCCTAACTTGAATATCTTGTCAGCATACAATTCAACAACCTGTTAAGTACATATATTATGCTCACAAGGTAATCACACCATCAAATGATGCTTGGTTTTTGCGATATGAGCAGCCTTTGCAACAGGAACAGCTTGAATGATAGTGCTGATAAACAATATAAACATACTTGAAGTTGAAAATATAAAATATTTGAGATGCGGATGAGCTCCATCTGAGCACTAGGAGTTGAAGCACTCCAGGTTTTATTCATCAGTTTATAAATTCAAGCAGGGTTAGAAAATGGCTTAACATATAAAACTGGGGTATTTTACATGCCTTAACCTTTTCAGTCAGTCGAGACATCCATTGTGAAAGCAGATATTAGATTTTCAAGCACTATTAACTTGTTTATGTTGATTGTAAGTGCTTTTATTAACTATTCCCATGTTTTACCTTCCTCTGAAATAAACTTTTGCCCTCCTTCCACGAAAATCACCAAATAACAAAATACCAAGACCTAAGTTGCAAATTGTGAACATTCCAAATTCAGGTTCACTGTAGGCGGAATTGCCTGAATGCATTTGTACTAAGGGTGTTTGTAAAACATAGGAAGTTTAAATATTGGTAGTAGGGAAACTCTTTTCTATTTTTAGATAGTTTTGCTGTAATGCAAAAATGGCCATGACTTAGAATGCTACAATGTAAATTATTGCACAATGACATTATGTCAAGTCTTTAAGATTATACCTGAGTGTTCTACATTCTATGCCATGGCCCTTTTTAACATTTACAGTATAAGGTTGAATAAAATGCAAAGCATTAAAAATTTAGAATGCACTCAGCTTGATTTACCCAAGCACACAGCTCAATAATATTATGAACAAGGGTCAAAACTCAAAAGCACGTTTCTGGAATATCTTCAAATACAATATGTTATTTAAAGAATTATTGTCTTGAAAATTAAATAAGCAAAACTCCCAGTTCAAACTCCCTGTGCTAGTCATAGAATAGTGATATAAACTATAAAGACTGGATTCAACTTTCAAACCTTGTGCTTTAGCAAGGAATTTTGGCTGACTTTATTATACTGCATCTTTGCGGACTCAGCCTGACTCTTTTGTTCCGTTTAATTGCGTTCATTTCGTCCTCTTTCAACAGTCGTTTGACATAAAGTTTGAAAATTACCTTCATTGTTTGGTAGCTTGCCCGCCTTTTCCCGTTAATATTTAGTCTGTAGCATGCTCCACGTAAATAAAGATCTAGCAGCAAATATAATGAACGAAAACTTTCAAAAAGCACATTTACACGTCGCCATTTTGGTTGCGTTCAGAATCAATGCTTCAAATGTTCTGATTGGCTGGATATATTCACTGATCTGCATATAGTTCAGATAAGAGCGGGAAAAGTGTAGAAAAAAGAGAAATTGCATGAAAAAAAAGAATACTTAGCCCAGTACCAATAATTGGTTTCTGAAGTGTCCGAATTCAAAACTGGTTCATGAAACATGCTGAGCACAGTGCCCTTGTTAAGTACTACCTCAGGAGGTAGTGCCCGTGCCCATGCTCAAATTCATTTAGAAGCGTCATATTCAACTTAAGGGCCTGTTACACGGTGCAATATTTCCTGCAACTTGCAATGCAATTCTTCTTTTAAGAGATGTAAATTTGGCGACTACCAAACTTCTGCCTTCATTGGCGTTTCTTACACTTACATTTTGAAGACTCTTTACTAATTTATATGTCTTTAAAGTAGAATTGCATTGCAAGTTGCAAGAAAAATTGCACCGTGTGTAACATAGCCTTTGCCCTTTAGGCGTGACGGGCACCAGTGCCGGGCACTCAATATGAACGCTGTCTAATAATCCAGTTTTATTAATATAAATGCTAATGGTTTTCGGTGTCCTCTAAATTAAGTTCATTGCAACTAGATATAATTTATAATAATCCATCGCAGGTAGCGCTTATTGCGATTGAATTCGTTAAAAATCATAGGAATCCCAAAGGTGTACGACGCACGCAGGTCAAGACACGTGCGTCGTACAACTTAATTTGAGCCTTTGGGCTTTCTTTGTTAAAAACAAGCGGCTCTTGCAAGATATAGTTCCGAAATGCTTCCGACAGCGTCACAACAACCCACAGTAACACACTCTGCGGTTAAATTCATCGTTTATAAATTAGTTAAATGATGAGGTCATGCATATCTTCATTAGTTCCGCAAAAAGAAAAAAAAAAGAGAAACTATCCACCAAGAAGGCAAGAGGCTGTTATAACAGTTTGCCAAATACGCCAGTTATTCAGCTTATCTATCAAACATGGTTAAGGCTCGTTTTAGGGCTGCTTTCCACTGTCGCGTTTTTTGCACGTACGTATACACGCACGTAAAAGCTCAAAAAACGTGCGTGTAAAAGCTTTTACGTGCGTGTACGTACGTGCAAAAAACGCGACAGTGGAAAGCAGCCCTTAGACGCGTCAAACTCTTCAATGAGATGTGCCAATGTAAATTTTAGCTTAATTCGCATACGATTTGGCACATGGAAAGTTCAACGTCTGAAACAGGCCTAAGTTCTTCATTTTGAAGGTTTCAAACAAAACACAAGAAATGAAGTAAAATACCATTAAAATAGAACTCAGAACGCGCGCAGTGTATACAGACTACGGTACTTTCAATACGAATAAGGTCCTAGCCGACATTCCCACCGCTGTACGTAACGCTAATTGGCATTGTCAAACAAAAAAGGAGGTGGAAAAGGCTCTTACGTTCGAGAGAGTTTTGGCTTAAAATCCGCGGTTAAACTTCGTCCCATTGTGTTTTTCTTTGTTACATACATAGAATAATTAGCTAGCATTATGTAGTTGTATAAATATCACAAAGCAGGCGAATGATTTCAGCAAAAATTGTCCTTATTTACCTTTATGATGGGTGATCTTAGCTTGCTGTTCAATGTCAAAGTCTATTTTTTTTATCAAATGTCAAAGCATGTTTATAGTTGCATAATTACATTAGATCAATCCTTGCATGCATTCCGCAACCCGATTTCCCATAATATGTTTATCTCCTGGCGCTGTATAATGGCTCAATGTCAAACAATTGCCTCTCTGCAAACCTTATGCTCTGTTTGTTGCTGCCAATTGATTGTCTCTGTCGGTGAAACACGACCTTGTTTAGTCCTGTTTTCATCAACTGGGACTGTGACAACTTGAAAACAAGGTTTTCAAAAGAAATCATTGTTAAAAAACTAATTTCTTAATAGTCTCCCCCCTCCCTCCGGGCCCTCGTGTGAAATTGGCTCATTGTCAAACTGCTGGTTTGGACCTGTGCGAACTTACCCACATATTTTTGCTCATAGTCTGTATTTCAAAATGTGGATCAAGTGGATGTGAGGATGGTAGTCAAGAGAAATGTTGTGATAAGGAATGTCTTGGTGGGTGTACTCGAGCTTTCTCTGCAGATCATTGTCATGCTTGCCAACATTTACGCTTGGAAAATGGTTCTTGTACCCGGTCTTGTCCACGTGGATTTAAAGAGGTATTCATTGACAAACCAATCTTCTTTATATTACGTTTCACACATGTATAAACACACGAAGATATAACACATGTCAAAATATAAGAAACTGTGTCATTTCCTTCTAGAGTCATATAAACGCATTGCGAATCCTTTACTGGCCGACTTTCCCCTTATACAATCACCAATTTTTTTCGAGCCGACTGAAATAGTTCCTTTCTTGGCAAAACTGGTGTTGATTTTTGCAAGATTGCAGAAAAAGCCAGCATTCCGCCCGCTGATGATTTGCAACAAAACGTATTAAATGTAAAGGTATTAAAATATGCGTAATAAAAATATTAAAAATTTTGTGTTTCTGCAGCTCGAAAATTTTATCTGCAAAAGAAGATGTCCTTTCGCAATTCCTTTCGTGTTGAATGGTAAATGTTATAAGGAATGTCCCGCTGGCTACACGAGGAACCCGAAGAGAGCCACCTGTGAAAAATGTCCTGAAGATAACTGCCCAAGAAGTTAGTATTTCGCTCTTCAATAAGGCATGTAGGGACGTTCTACACGCAGTAGCGTAGCCAGCCTGACGATTTGTCCCGCTATGCTAATATTTTGGTGTTCATTTACTGTGAAAACAATAAATTTCTAAAGACATGAACAATTATTTAACTCGAAATTTACATAGCGGGACAAAATCATCAGGCTGGCCACGCCACTTGCATGTCTACACAGGACGTGAAAATCAGAGATTTGCAGTTGTAAACAGAGTTGCAAACGTCCAAAACTCCCGTATAGGTCTTCAATTATTCCTTTCTTTTCACGGTGTCTTTTTCAAGCACGTAAGAGAAGTTTACTTTCAATATTATTTCGGGGAAGGGGGTGTAAATGCCGCTAGTCACGTGCTAAGCTATGCGCAGTAACGCAGCATGAGCGACACGAAGACTACGGATACGAATTATGACGTCACAAGGTTTCAACAGCACGATAACAGGGAGCTTTAGCAGTGACTACCTGTACGACTTCGTCATTCGCTTCGTCATGCTTCGTCATTCTTGCGTGTTGTTTGCCTACGTTATATCTGACGAAACTCGAAGTCGTCGAGCTACTCGGAAGCCCAACGACGACGAGTTTCGTCAGATAGCGTAAGAAAAAACCGGCGTTTGGCGCCGTTCTTGAGTCTTGTACTCGTAGTAAATAATATAACATAAAGTAACATGAAAACTGCAGAAAGTAACGTTGACACAATAATATCTCTAAATGCAATATGTCTTTGTAGCTTGTCGACCAGAAAAATTCAAGAGGGGAATAAATATATTGTCATTGTCAGACTCTGCCAAACTCAAGGGATGCACGATTTATTCGGGAAACGTGGCGATCGAAATGCAGAACGTTAGAGGTAAATGCAATCATTCAAAATCATGATGAGAATTACGCCTCACTTTTTATCAGTTACGAAGCATACAGAAATATCACTTTGTCTGCATAACTATATATCTGTGTGTATTACGTACGTCACCGTATTTTGCAGCATTTTTCGCAACAAGTCTTTTTCGTTCTTAATTTATCTTATTATATATTTATATTGTGCTATGAGATATTTTAAAATTAGTATAAACTGTAAACAAAATTTTCTCTCGAAGATATGTAACGATAAACGATGGTACGAGGACCCGTTTACATTTTTTGATGTCATTTTCGTTTTTTCGTGGATTGAAACGAGCGGATAGCCATGAATGTTCTGATGTATCATTGCCTTATTTTAACACCCGTACATTCTTTACTCGTTCACATTCTTCAAAAGAAGAAAATGGTACCAAATATCGCAGCAGGAATATACTGTAATCTTCTGACGTTGTGTTAAAATATGTTTATTCTTTGATCATGCAGGCGGTACAAATATTGCTCAAGTTTTAACGGACCATCTTGGTAGTCTGGAAGAAATCAGAGGGCATGTGGTTGTACGACAATCTACTCCGTTGATATCACTGAATTTCTTTAAAAATTTGAGGAAAATTACCCTGCGGGATAATTTCTCAGGTTTCTCATCTAAAGGGTTAGTATTTTTCGCGCCCATTCTTTGCATCATATATGACACATATTACTTTTTAAAACTACCAATGCGAGGTCAGTATTAAAAATATTTCCCTGGTCTTTTCAGAACGAACCGACTTACAGCATCTAACCAATCAGCTTCCAGTAATTTTATAATGCTAATATTTAATTTCAAAATTACTTCGAGTTGCATCAGAATGTTTTATTCAAATTCCGATCAGATTGGATTCGTATTGAATATAGTCATTCATTTGTCGGACTCGAACTGTCCAATCCAATCCGATGCACACCTCAAATAACGAGTGTGTATATTTTATTTGATATTCCAATGAATATAATTCCTGTTGCGACTAGCGAGGGACATTTTGTCGCTGTCGACAGCAACACTGCTGACTATTACTTGTAAAATACGAAAACTTTGCTCACAATACGATGCATTTTGCCTTTAAATTTTCTTCTAGTTATGCATTGGCGATATTCGACAATCCTAACCTGGAGTCACTTTGGGAATTTCATCCAAATTTTAAGATAAATAACAGAAATCCGAAGACGATTAATGGAATGTTTGTGCAGCTAAATCCACGATTATGCCTTAAAAATATTTATCCATTGGTTGAGGACGTTTTAAAATGGAATAAAAGCGATCCGAATGTTGATATATCTGAGACAACAAACGGAAATGCCAGAAATTGTAAGTTTGTTTTCTGCTTTCTAGTTTTCACAATGATATGAAAATATTTCATCAATTCCTTTTTTGTAAAATGTTGGTGGGGGGGGGGGGGCGTCTGCCCTGCCCCTCCATCCGCCTTTTCAGTTATTTCCAGCTTCTTCCTTTAACAATATAGATTTCTGTCTTTCCCAGCACAATCCTAAAATGCACTACGATTTTAAGATGGTTTGGTATAATTCATTCTTGCCTTCTCTGTTTTAGGTGATGTCAACTTCGTTAATTTAACAATAACAGGACGTCAAAAGTGTTTCAAACCCGGTCTTTGTGTGAAAGTCTCTTGGCCAAACAAAGTCGAAGACTATCGAAATCTTATACTTTATTCTGTTTGGTATAGAGAAACGTGAGTTAAGTTTTTTTAAAGAGGGGTGCAGGGCTGGACTTGGACGATATTTGCAGGGGGAATGTTATTCATATATTCAGTTCTGAGAACTGAATATATGAATAAACACTCCCCCAATTATCGTTCTACTTTCTTCCTGGGGAGGGGGGGGGGTGACAATGGTTTCCACGCATCAGTTCTGCTAGTGTAGGCTACTTTAGTTTAAATTGCTGAAATTTAGCATGTTTCTTTTTTCTCAGCATTAACTTGTATTCATCTTTTGCCAACAAAAATATATTATGTTTTACGAAATACTAACGAAATAATAGAGAGTGCTGAATATAGATCGTGTTGAATATTCTGACTATTTTTATATTTTAAAAACATGGTAATTCAAAATGTAAGCGAAGCGTTTAAACATTTCTGAATGCCACCTTTAAAGATATTCATGTAGAACGAGAGTTATCAGACGTGTTTTCCGTCACAACACGGAAGCCTTCTTTTCATTCCTCAGGTAGTATTTGTAAAAATATTTTCAGTTAAAATATAAATATTTTTTGAATTTCGTACGTTTAGAACAAGTACTGATCTCAATGAGTATGATGATATCGACGCCTGCAACTCAGATCACGTGTAAGTATTGTTGAATATTATGGAAACATCGCTACTTTTTCAATTCGTTGCATTTGGGCAAATGTTCGTGTATATATATTAGCGTAACTTATATGAAGTTCTGATCTTAGTTATGTACCCTCGTGTTGATGTGTTCTAAGCTGATTGTTAATAACAATTCTCAATATTTTGTAGGTGGGAACGTCAAGACGTTTCTTCAAAAAGAAGGTTTGCACCAAATTTGAAGCATTATTGTATTTATATAAGGTTTTTTTTATTTTTTAAATCGAAAAGTAAAACCGAAATTTAAAAAAATGTAGAAAAATTATGAATATAATTTAAACTACATCAAGGATAGCTACGCACCAGATATCCGATCCATTTTTAAACTAGTAACCCCGACTAACTCGCATTTTCAACATATATACATTTGTCCTGAAAATTAACGATTTATTAAATTTGTAAGTTATGTCAACTATTGTTTAAATGATCAGTTTATTAATAGGTTTATTTATTCGATTATCAGTCTTTTTATTCAATTATCAGTCTTATTTTTCGATTGTCAGTCTTATTTACTTTTCGAACACCGAATCCCCCCCCCCCCACCCGCCGAATGTGTCTTCAAAGAGTTTGGATTACCAAAGCTTCTAAGCGCGGCGCGTTACGGGTTTATAAAGTGCTTCCGGTATTCTTTCTGTTTTACTTGTCATTTCATTGAAAACGTAAGATTGCGTCGAATTAAATCCACGTTTTATATATGTCTGGCGCATGCAGAAATGCATATCGTGCATGTCCACGAGTGGTACCAAACGTTACGTTTATCACTTTTTTTCTTTGCAGAGCGATCATCTCAGGGACTGTGTATGGACTAAAAGCACACACGCTGTACGCATTTCGTGTAAATGCCATTGTGATCGGAGGGACTGGTGTCAAGAGTTACATCACTTATTTCAAAACAAGGCAAACAAGTGGGTGCATTAATGTAACCTAATGTGACCAGAACTAATGTGAGAAAAACAAAGAAAAATTCCGCTCCGCGCACCTAGTGGAAAACAGGCTTAACCCTGCAACACGAGCTTAAAATTGCATATAATTACAGGATAAATCCGTCTTGAAAAGTCTCAGTTCGATTCAAAGATTTCTCTGAAGCGTCTGAAAAAAGCGATTGAACTACAATTGATTAAAAGCGATTGAAATAAATTGGTTATTTAAAGCGAAGGAATTCTGCAGCATAGATGATGAAAACAATTATTTTTTTCTATACCACTTCGACAAATTTACTCGTCAACATTTTAAAACTATTTTCGGGGATTGATTTGAGGTCGCTTCACCAATCTGTCGCCATAATTTTCGCCACCCATAATTTATGTTTAAATTAGCATCACCGTTGTGTGTAAATATACTAAAGTAGTTTTATCGTGTTTTAGAACCATCTGTGCCTCGTAGTCACGAGGTTAGTTATTTATCTTCATCCTCGTTGCAAGTGAAGTGGAGGGAGCCTTTCTTTCCTAACGGCGAGATAACGCATTATCTTGTGAAATATAAGGAAATTTCATCATCATATTTATGGGATTTAAATGTTAAGTCGTGCCAAAATATAGACTCGTCCATCGATTTCTATAAGAAGAAGAAAGTAAAAGATAAATGTGAGTACTTCATTGCACTTAGCTCAAAAAAAATCCAGCAATGGACTTGATTAATTATACATGGCGAGTAAAAAAAACCTGACACCTTTGAAATTCAAATTAGCCGCGAACTTATGGCTGGAATTTGACAATTCCCATTGTGTACAATCAACAAGACGTGGTTAATTAATGCGAAAGTGTTTAAACCAATTGAACTAATTCAACGTTCTTTTTTATTACAGAGCTTAGAATGCATTTTAACTCCCAAAGGGAACAAACTTTATGTTCAAGGTTAATTAATGGGTTCAGTTATTTCATATGCTTCGTATACCCATAAGATATTTTAGGCAACTTCTGTCATATTACAGCCGATTACAGACGCATTGCAGCTAATTTGAATTTCAAAGGTGTCAGTTTTTTTACTCATCCTGTATACGGGGCGCATAATACGTCATTCAGAGCTATAAACTTTTAACACACGGATTAATTTTAAATTTAATACACCTTAAGTCCTTAATAACAACGTACCGTCACTAAAGTTCTTAAAAATGAACCGAAATTAAGACTAATCAACTGGCGATCGAACACTTATTTCATTTTATATATTTTTAGATTAATTATTTTAATTTTTTAAATATTTTTTATATTTTTATATATTTTTAAATTAATTATTCTTCATTTCGTCCGGGTGAAATATCTTGTGAGAGTTAAGCCCATGTTACACGGTGCAATTTTTCTTGCAACTTGCAATGCAATTCTACTTTTGAGAGTTGTAAATTAGTGAAGAGGCTTCAAAATGTTAGTGTAAGAAACGTCATGGAGTGTAATAAAGACAAAATTTCGGTAGTTGCCTATCTCTCAAAAGAAGAATTGCATTGCAAGTTGCAAGAAAAATTGCACCGTGTAACAGGGCCTTTAGTGTAGACTTATCGGTAAACAACACACGTATTATGTTTTAGTGACGTCAGGAAACCAAACTTGCCCTGTCAATTTAACCTGCAACTGTGATAACGAGAAAGATGAAAAACAAAGTCTTGATCTAAAGGAAGCGTTGTTTGCGAAAGAATTTCAGGATAAAATTTTACAAGAAGTGTTTAAAAAAAATGATACAAACAACAATAAAATCACTACAACTCCCCGGCCTTGTGGTAATTACAGTAAGGTATGCATATTTACAAACGTGATCAAATTAAAGATTAGTTCTGGAGGTTCAAAAGGGTCAAAACTATTTAGAAAATACTTCTATTAATATCACCTAATATTTTTCCCGTCAAAATAACCCAAGAACTATACTCTTTTTAGTGTTGCAGTATTAGAGCTCACAATGTATTTATGTGAGCAATCACGTGCAACTCACGTCGTAGATGGTGTTAACGTGACGTCGTAACGCATGTTAATGAACTGTTCAAAGCCTCGTTGTTTAATCCAACCTATTTGAAAACCATCTCCAGATTAATTAAAAAACTGCATAAAAATTTGAAACCTCACGAGAGCCATATTTTTTAATCTGAATATTATCAATATTTTTAGAATTCTTCATGTTCAACCCAGCGACCAAATACACAAGAATTATCAACATCAATTTCCACGACACCTACATCGGTGTTATCCACAACCACTGCCCCTCTTGTTATACTGAATACCACCCAACAGACTATTATTTTAGAGGGATTGAAATATTTCACCGAATACAGTGTTGAGGTAAGAAAATCTTTGAATTAGACTCACTATTCTTGCTTTTTTTCCAGCTATAAAATAGAATCCCGCTGTTATTTAAATAAAACTAGATTTGAAACGAGTTATAGAATCAATATAAAGGATCTGCTGAAAAACCTATTGTTTTTATATGGGCTGGTTTCCAGTCCATATAAAAGAGGAAAATTATCCTCCGGATCAGACAGTATCGTTTAATTCTTTTGTGCTTAAGGCAATTAGCTTTGTGAAGAACACATGGATAACATAAACTTTTCTGTCCGATACGGCAAATGAGTAATGAGTAATAATTAACCATTGAAACCAGCCTTATATGGGCTACGGCAAATGAGTAATGCATCGTGAAACTTCATTCATATATTTCTAATGTTCAGGTATGTGCGTGCAACTCTGGAGCTGGTTGTGGAGAAAACAGAGGATATGTAACGCAGTGTTCAACTGTCCTTGGAAGAACTGGAAAGAGTGGTAAGTCTTTCTTACCAAGACTTATAAATAATGGGATTTTAAAAGGTCTTTTCACACGATCCAATTTTGTCAGATTCAATTCACTTTGAATGCATGGATGTTTTATATCAGGCTGTTGACTTAATTGCAAAGTATATGGGGGCAGGAATTCGACTAAAGCTATTGCACTAATGCGTTATCAATAAAAACCTACATTCCATATGCTAGAAGTGAATTGGGTCCGACAAAGTTGAATCATGTTATGTGAACGGGCCTTTATATCTACAACGCGACCGACGCGTCCTCGATACAAACGATTTTTTCATGTAAGACAAATATAACGAATAATTTTCGGTCCGAGGATTATATATACTAGACGTTAGTTGTTCTCCAGCAAGCGTTATCATTATCTTGTGTTTTAAGTTTAAATTGACACCGGTCGTGCTGTAGACCTTGGAGTCTATAACATACATAGAACCCTATAACATTACTTTATCTTTCTATCTATCTTCGCTACCAGACAACTGTCCTGTTCTAGATTCCCTAAATTGCATGGTTTCTATCATGGTTTCTACCATCACGCATTGCGCTTGCAAGCTAAACGGGAGAGGTATAATATGTAAATCTCCTTTTTTCATGACATTAGATACGGCGGATGATGTTGGTGATACCCTAGAGTTTGACGCATATAACGATTCTAAGCAGGTAAAGTTATGGAAGGTTACGATGTAAGACAAAACGCCTAACGAGTTTCGAGTATTATTATTGCATGCGAGGTCATTCAAATCCTGGTGCTTAACTTGTCGTTTGCGTTTCAACAGTTTACGTTAGAATGGAAGGCTCCTGATAGACCGAACGGAAAGGTCTTAAGATACGATGTCTGGATTCAGTATAAACCAATCAAGGGAAATGAAACGGTATGTCAATAAAAACTTTTCAATCAATTCATATTTTATCATTCTTTATGACCTTCTAATATATTTGAATAACATGCACGATTAATTTGTAGTTTCTGATGAAAATACTTTCAATTCGTATCTAGGTTGATGATCAACAGTGTGTGACCGTTGCTCAGTATACTAAAATTGGAGCTTCATTTGGTGATTACACAGCAAGAGTAAGGGCTATAACACCTGTTGGAAATGGTTCCTGGAGTAACCAGGTCAACTTTAGAATTGATGAAAAAATCACACCACCGGGTAAGTGGGTAACTGAACTCTGATACTACTTTGATACCGTCTCTATCTTTATCTTAATAATTTTTTACATTAATCTAGCTAATAATACTAACATAATACTGATTTTTACTGCACCAACTTCATCCGTAAAAAACCTAAAAATTGGGCACAATGCATGTATATGAGGCTCAAATCTGATTGCTCTTTTGCTTTGGTAAAAAAAAACGGAATGGAAGGCCATTATTAAATCTACTTTGATCTCTATATATGTTGCCCGGGGATGAATGGTTGAACGTATAACAACTTCGTCGCTTTTAGAAAAGAAAGAAACATTCCCGAGATAAATTTATTAGCAAATCAACATTTTCAGAAGTAATGTTCACCCACAAAACTGGCCTTTTCCTGACTACGTTAAGAAATAAACCTGTCATTTGTTTTGAATAAAAAATTGAGTGTTTGTGTCCAACTTTATCGTCGTTTCAGGAATTGAAGCTCAAAAGGAAGACGCCAACTTTGTGACTGTTGTTGGTGTCAGCGTTGGCGCCATTCTGTTTGCTCTTGTAGTTTTTGTTGTTCTTACGTTTTCGTTGATAAAAAGGTATGTTGACGTTGAGCTTATTCGTACAGGGTTGGTTGTACTAGGAATTGCCTGGGGGGTGCGTACTCCCGTCGGCCAACTGCAGAGGTGGTGCAGAAGGGTTCACGTTTGGCTAATTTACAGAAATCGGTAGTGAATAAGTATTTTAGTGTAGTTAAAACTTTCGAGTGTTCTGCGGCTCTGACACTCTGCTAATCGTCTCATTTTTATGATTTTATGAACAAACAAACATTCTAATATTTCTGACAACTTCGGGTTGTATCACAACCGATGTTTGGCAACTGGTCTGCAACTCCCCCCCCCGAATTATTATTGAAAGTATTTTCGCATACTTGGCGTTCAAGATTAAGACGATGCTGTGAATAAACTTGCCTTTTTTGAACCTTTACTGTAAATGTACTAAAGTAATTTTGCGCATAACATCAATTTCCGGCCTCATGAATCTTTGATGTACTTTTAAGAGTGTTTAAGGTACCTTGAAGTGGGTATATTATGATAATGAAACATCCAATTAATTTGGCACTTAACATCAAGTACAGAGTCATACTCTACGATGTTCATATTTCATATTGCGCTCATGCCTGCCATTCATTTTCATGATTTTTAAAGAAACCGTAAATTTCGAACACACGGGTCACCCGTGCTGTTTTCATTACTAGAACAAACATCGCAATGTTAGGATTTTCATGACAAACTTGTTTCTTTGGTAAAGTACACTGGAAGCAACTGTGGATATATTTGTTTTCATTTTAGACACAAGAAGAGTAAACATGGAGCCGGAGTTCTTTTTTCTTCAACTAATCCGGAATACTGGAACTGCTCGGACGGTAAGAAAAAAGCATTTGATTTGGCACATGAAAAGTCCGACGTCTAAAACAGGCCTAATTTCCCAATCAAAATACTACCGTTTGTTTGAAAAGCTTTTTCTCCCCTCAAATATTAGTATATGTTCCGGATGAGTGGGAAGTGCCACGCGGTGATGTCACTCTAATACGTGAACTTGGCAATGGTTCATTCGGAATGGTGTGGGAAGGGGAAGCTGTTGGAATATTACCTGGCGTTCATTCTTGCAAAGTTGCCGTCAAGGTATGTTTGAAATCGATTCGTTTAACTTTTCACAAAATGTGTTTAGATGGAAGTTAATTCAATAAAGAAAATATAGGAGAGCACAGACTCTTCCAACACTCTTTCTTTCATTCCAACCACACTGAGTGGTCTATCCCATTTTCCTTTAGTTTAATTCATGAGTTAAGGTACTAAATAACATCTTTAGAATGACAGTAAGGTGCCATTTGCTGGAGTTCCACTTACATATAGTGAAATGGTTCCATAGCGAACTATTTGTATATTTTCTTTAGTTTAGAACAGTCAAGTTGAGAAACTTACATATTGGATTTGCTTTCATTTCTTTAGACTGTAAGTGATACCAGTTCCATTCGAGACAAAGTTGAATTTTTGAAAGAAGCTTCGATTATGAAGTAAGTTTGGCCTTGCATTGACCGTTACATTGAAACTATGACTTAAACCACAGGTAGCCCGCAATCGGATTTGCTTTTAGTTAAATATTTTTAAGATACATTCTATGCAAAACGACATGAAGTAAAAACTTCCTTCATTCACTGCTGACATATTATCGCATGCGCCAATTCGTGCGGTGCAGTGTGACCTTTATGTATATATTAATATAAGGTTGGCAACTCTTTGTCGTATTTCACATTTACGAATTACATACACAAACTTACACATGAAAATACTCGTACTTAAACACAAAGATATACACAAAAAACTAAATCTATGTGGGAACTGACTCTCCTAAAACATTTCCGAAACATTTGTTTGTCTTTAAAGCCATTGCAAATATGTGAAATTTACGAAAATAGAAACACTTTTTGGTTGAATTTTTTGAAAAGCTGTCGGGATCCCATCACCCTGCCCTACGTCACAGCAAACACGCAATATGATTGGCTTAGTTTTGAATTTTGAAATTTGTTTACGTTAACGGGATTCAACCAGCCAATCATATTGCGTGTTTGCTGTGACGTAGGGCAGGGTGATGGGATCCCGACAGCTTTTCAAAAAATTCAACCAAAAAGTGTTTCTATTTTCGTAAATTTCACATATTTGCAATGGCTTTAAAGACAAACAAATGTTTCGGAAATGTTTTAGGAGAGTCAGTTCCCACATAGATTTAGTTTTTTGTGTATATTTTTGTGTTTAGGTTCGAGTATTTTCATGTGTAAGTTTGTGTATGTAATTCGTAAATGTGAAATACGACAAAGAGTTGCCAACCTTATATTAATATATACATAAAGGTTACACTGCACCGCACGAATTGGCGCCTGCGATAATATGTCAGCAGTGAATGAAGGAAGGCGACACTTCATGTCGTTTTGCATAGAATGTATTTAATATTTAACTAAAAGCAAATCCAATAGCGGGCTACCTGTGCTTAAACTACGATTTAAATTAATGACAAAAATTCCACAAATTTATGCTCTACTAACTATACTAATTTATACTATTTGATGTGGTTGATGTTAACAACTTTTTAACTTATTGAATTTAATTATTGAACAACTTAATTATTGTTAATCTTAATTCACTATAGAGCATTTAATTGCAATCATGTTTTGCGGTTACTTGGAGTGGTTTCTGCCGGTGATCCAGTCCTAGTGATCATGGAACTGATGGAAAATGGTGACCTGAAAAGTTTTTTGCGGAAACGCAGACCGGTGAGAAAATTATTTGAACTTTTTTAGGGGCTGTTTTCATGAGCCCGGTTACCCGAGATTCAACGAAGCGTGAGAGGACTTTGAGGTATTGAATTAACTCTTTATGACACCAAACAAGCACATTGTATTGTTTTGGTGATTATACGACTGCCAGGGTCATGTTATCTGCTCATTTCAATACCTCAAAATCATCTCACGCTTGTTGGATCTCGGGTAACCGGGCTCATGTAAACAGCCCTTAAAGCCATTCCTCATTATTTAGCAACATGCGCAGGGGCGTAACTAGAACGGTAATTCAGTTCTGCCCGACGGATTTCTATTGTAAGCTGTTGTAGCACCCCCCCCCCAATTATCGTTCTAGTTACGCCACTGTACATGCGATTTGTGATAGGCAAATACTGTAGTGAATATATCTCACATTTGACGAGCTTTTGTGTTTGCACTTCGTCGGTCAAATGTGTGAAAAATGTTGACATGTCACGACTATTTTATCACATCCAGGATTCAGAGGAAGATTGTTCTCTTCCGCCGCCGACAAATGTTGAACTGTTTCAAATGGCCGCTGAGATTGCGGATGGAATGGCGTATTTGGCTGATAGAAAGTTTGTTCACAGGTAAAATGCATACATCTGGTTTTGTATACAGTTTTTAACAAGCTACACAATTACATGGTGTACTTTTTATGATTACACTTAAGGTATTGATAAAACGGACGTTTTATCTCTCTGAATGTGCACAATATGAGTACCATATATAGTTCATATACTTGATATAATATTATCGATATGAGTAAATCTAAATCGCGCACCAAGTGAAGCCACAGCTTGGTGAACATAGACGGCAGCTATGTAAGGTTTAACTGTATATTGAGATCAGTGGCATCATCTTGCTAAGATAGCGCCGAGTGGCTTCAGAGTTCGCATTGAATAACAGACATGCGCTAACTAGGGATTACTCATGCGGATTGTAAATGCTAAAGATGCGATCACATTTTGGCCCTGGTTATAAATATCGCATGCTTATAGTCACAATTTTCTGAAAGCAATCGTCTAAACTGCTTCAACTTATATGCAATAACGAATCGAATCTTTTATATACAGAAGGATGTTAAAAAAGAATGAATGAAAAATATTTTTTGTTCATAAGTAAAGTTCTTTTCCTGATGTGTTTTTATTCCATGTTCATTTAGAGATCTTGCTGCAAGAAATTGTATGGTATCAGGCAATCACACGTGCAAAATTGGAGGTAAGCTAGTCTTTCATATCCTTCACAACTAAGCCTCGCGGGACGTGGTCAGGGCCGTAGCTAGAAGCTTAATTGGGGGGGGGGGTATATTCATTTATTCATCGTATGCTCGACTTTTTTCTTTTGTACGCTATTGTTCCTGCGATAGGTAAACATGAATATATGAATATACACCCCCCCCCCAATTAAGCGGTCTAGCTACAGCCCTGATTGTGTTAGAGGACTAAAGGAAGCGTGATGGCAATGGGAAACGTTAGAGCTGAGAGCAACTTTGAAAAAAGTTCAACGGACCAATTGTTACATGTGCAAAGTGTAACCTGTAGTCTCATTGAAAGCGCAATAAATTGTATGTCGTTTTAGAGTCATGCAGTCATATTTTGGACCACGTCGAGTTTTTCCAGTTTCTCGCTTTATTATGAGAAAAAGGTCTCCTGCAGGGGGATTATCTTATTGCTGGTGTGCCAGTGGCCCGTGCTTTAAATGACGAGCAAAATATTAGACTACATGCTATGTTTTTAAAAATTTCCCATCATTCTCTCCTAACTTATTTTCCTTTTAGTCGGAGCTTAGCTCTAGGTTGAATGAATAGTTTCATTATAGTGTATTATTTCCTGCGTTTAATCTTCATATTTGTGTTTCAAGATTTTGGACTAGCACGAGATGTGTACGAAACAGATTACTATCGAAAAGGCACTAAAGGTATGATTTATGAAATTTTAACTCTAAAAGTTTTTTAAACAACCACAACAACTCAGTTATCTTGAATATTGCATTTACCCATATATACCCACATGGATTTTTTTATTTTCATTTTTATTTTGATCAACGTAATGTAATCCTGTTCGTTGATTTCCTAACTGCAGTACATGTAATTCTGGAGTTACATGGACATGGTTAATTGTGATCAAAATTTTCCAGGTTTTTTGCCAGTTCGCTGGATGTCTCCAGAGTCTTTGAGAGATGGAGTATTTTGCAGTGCTTCTGATGTTTGGTAAGCTAAGTTACTAAACCTTTGCGGACATGCAAGCCAATGAACCCATACAGTATCTGCCTATATTATTAGCCAATGGACGACTTGCGCTTACGACATGAAATTACGAAATGAAAAACGGAAAAGCCTGAAAGGCAAATTTGAATATTGTACTCATAACATATCTGCATGTAATTTTAAGGGTAAACTATTGCAATATGCGTACCATTCTACTAATGCGGATTTCATGCATGCATTTCGTGTTTGTTTCAAGTGCAAATGCATTTCTTGTAATATAACAATATAATAATATTGACCTCGCTTTTCTCTGTCTCGAACCGATCGAGTCTTCGAACAAAGCTCGCCCGACGGAGAAGAGACCTCGTCAGAAACCTTGCGCACGCTTAGTGAAAAGTTAATATTGAACTATAATCCCAAACTATAAACCTATATTAAAGCTTGCTTTTCACCAAACGATTATCTAATCGCACTGAAAAGGTAATGCAAAAGACAGGCAACTAATCAAAACAGGTCATGAATTAATCTTTATTGATCAGGTCATATGGCGTAGTTCTCTGGGAAATGGCGACGTTAGCCGAACAGCCGTATCAAGGAAAATCCAATGAGGAAGTAATGAAGTTTGTTCTGGGCGGAAATATTATGGATATTCCTGAATCGTATCCAAGAAAGTTGTAAGTATTATGACTGATTCGATTTCAGCGTCTTAATTTATCCAACGACAGAATTTCTGATTGTGGAAAAAATAGCTCAGGACTCAGGAGAAACGATTTTTAAGTCACCCGAAGTCACCTCTCATCGTGTTTCTCTACTTTTATCACTCCATCATTCACTTTTAATGCATATTGCACTTTTTGAATAATAGACAACTTTTGATTTGGGCACCAAAAAGGAAATTTCCGAAAAGTGCATACTAAATTTAGTAAAATTAGCAAGTTTGGCTGCAAAATATTGTAAAGTACGGAAAATATAGCCATACGAAGTTGGAAATTTTGTATTTTTTTTACTACGGCCGGAAGTGTGTAACTAAATTAGTTAAACGCTTCCGGCGGTTACTAGTAAAAATGTATACAAAAATTGGCTACTTGGCATGGCTATATTTTCCGTAATTTACATTACGCTACATTTTGCGGCCAAACTTGATAATTATACTAACTTCGGTATGCTCTTTCAATTTCCTTCTTGTTGCCTAGATCGTAAGTTGGTCTATATTATGCAAAAGTCCATTAATCACTTTAAATATAATTTACTTTACCTAATATTTTCCCAGGTTGGAAATAATGTTGCTCTGCTGGCAACAAAAACCTGGAAATAGGCCTACCTTCCTGTCTATTGTCGAAAACCTTGAAGGATATCTCACATTAGACTTCACTGAGAGATCATTTTATCACAACGGTCGACCAAGAAAAGAAACTGACTCGAGCAGTCTCGTCAGCCTCGGCACAGAAAACGATAATTTGTCAGAATTACCAGATTTTCTCGCCGACCATGCTCCTAAAAGCCCAATTCCGAGAGAGAGCTTTGTGTAGCATTGGAGACACTGCGATGAAAATATCAGGCATGCGGTAAACCACACTGGATTTCCCTGGAGGAGATCAGAAGATGATATCCGACGTGCGATAAGATTAGCGATGATATCCGATAGTAATTTAACCTTATAATCTGCGGATAAACCATACTATATCCAAAATCTATCCGATTGATTGTATTCGCCTTTTCGGAAATATATTACCAAAATAGTCCCCGCGTATATTTAATACGCTATCACAATTAAAACCAGGGCCGCACAGAGAATGTTAGGGGCCCGGGGCAAAAGTCTCGCGAGAAAAATGCATCAGAATAAAATGGCGTAGCTAGTTCCTGTAACATAGCTCCACTGTGATGCCGCCCGATCAATAATGACTTAATGTATCGCCTGAAGCTTGAGTGGTGTTCGTAAGGTATCTTAAAGCTTGGGGGATAATAAAGCAATCGAAAGGGTGGGGTCATACTCCCCGAAATTCTGATACTTGGGGTGCAGCACAAGCGATTTCCTTATGGTTTTGGGTGAAATTTTCACCATATTAAATACAGTATATTGTTTATTCTATTTAGCAATTAGTCGCCGAGGTGGTTACAAGTGACTATCACTTCAGAGACAGTGAATCTTGACCAATCAGAATGCAGGAAAATCAATAGCCATGCATGCACCTCGAAATTAAACTATAAACCCCCCACCTGCCAACGAGAACTATGCATATTTCCAAGAATTGTTTAATGATATCCCTGCGATACCTAATGCATGGCCTGGGTGGCCCCCTATCAGCTTGGTGCCCGGAGAAGATTGCCGTTTTTGTCCTACCCCCTGCCCTCTTCTGTGCGGCCTTGATAATAACTTAATAAATGGTTATACCCACGCCTATAGATTTTATAATTATCTGCGTAATTTTTACTTAATTACTTTCGTAATTATATCAATCAAAATATAGTTAGGTAGTAAATTGGTAGTAAATTCACTAAATTATTGAATATTAGACAAATATGTGGTATCATATAAATATAATGTAGATATTAAATGAAATTGACGAAGGCCAAAAAGTTATGGCTGATAACGGTCAACGGACTTGAATAAAGCAGGGATTATCTGCGTTTCTCTGCAAGCATTTAGACAACACTTCTGTGTTCAATCAGTCTTATTTCGTAAGATTAGTAAGATAAGACACAAGTAAGATTTCTACGGGGATTCTGATATGCAAATATTTTTGTCTTTTGTGTTTCTACTGTTTACTTACTATAGTCTGCGACAATCTCAATTGAGTGAGTTTATATTTTGGCGTTAAAAAGCCTAGTTATCTCCTTTGACGTATAAGTTCCCGCTTTTTTTAAGTCAGTTGTCTGGACTAGGTATAAATTACACTGTATATAGACCGAACTTAATTAAATGCAGTACTGGATTAGAATTATCTTTGTATTCTATTTTTGTACTTGTACAATAAATTCCGTAAGCACATTTGTTGTTGTCGTGTTCAGCGTTCTCACTTTTAAGGAAATTTCCTTAGAAAAGTTTGACTCTATCGAGGGGAGACAAGAGTATTTGATATGCTCTTTTCAAATGTTTTGTCTCAGGTTATTTAAAGCATCCTCTCCCATAGTAAAAAGTTAGCATACTTAAATTGAAAGAGCCCTGGTCGTGTTTGCAATCCGACATGGCTATAGCATTCTGATTGGCTTAGCTTAAAAACGTCATTTTGACGAAGAAAGGAATTATGGAATCAATTATATATCCAGGTGCACTTGCGCTCAATATTTTACCAAAAACAGCCAGTAATACAGTGAAAATATTAAACGTTTGCATATTTTTGTTATTATAAAGTTATGGCAGGCAATGCTGTGAAACAATAATTATACTATTCGTTCTCTGAAATTGCGGAAAAGTACTGGGAAGAGACGTTAAATAAAACTCCATTTACAATTTGAAATATCTTTTGAAACATACTTTATTTCGCTTTTAAATTTATGTCAGGGCTATAGTTCTATAACTAGGCATAATTCCAAAATTTCAAGTAGTTTCATAAAGAATATCAAAAGAATAATCGATTTTAATCCAGCAGAATGGATTTCTAACCACCGTATACCTCACTGCTATACAGCGTGTAAGGTGCTAGCTCAGCTAAACAGATTGCGTAATAATTAATGTACATGTACGGTGAGGAGTATTTTATAATTACTGTTATAAGCAGTGGTTATCATTTTTTAAAGTTCCAACAATAAGTGATTTCAACAGCGCCCATTTTTCAAAGACACCCTGGGGCACGTACCAACAGTGTTGGGCTGAATGTTAGGGCTGAAAAAGCGTCCGGTTTGTAGATCATAGATATATGATATACCTTTCTCATGATGACGTCATTGCGGAAAACCTGATGTCAGACAAAGTTTGATTGGTTCTTAAATTTTGCAAAGCCAATCAAAGTTCGTGTAACATCTGGCTTTCCCATTCAACATCATTGTGAGAGTCTGAGAGAGGTCTGAAATTACCGGAGTAAAATACATGCAAATCAGTATTAAAGATTTTACATTGTCATTGTGTGAGGCTGTAATACCTGTAAACTAACGGCATTGTCTGAAGGTCAACGAAGGTCATTATCTTAGATGAATGTCGATGACATCCACGAATAACAAAATACGGTACATTAGAGTCGCTTAAAATTCTAATGAGCATCAAGCTAAGCTACAACGCAATCAAAAGATCAAGGAATAAAAACAAATTCAAATTTATCCACATTCCTGTGACGTATTGAAAAAGGAACAAAGCTTTTCATGTAAAATTTGGCATCAAACTTTAGAACCAAGTGCACACGTGTATCAGAATGAATGAATGCATGCCAGCAAATTCATCGCTTGAACGGGTATTGTGTTTAGAACCAGTTAATTCCGCCGTTTCTTTAGCAGGTGGCTTTTGCTGTTTGTTGGCAAAACTATAACCTTTTACTAACAGAAGGTTGTAAATAAAGCAGGAATATACGTGGAAATATTGCTTGAGGGGATTCTGGTTAATGCTGTCATTCTGACAATTTTTTAATAAAACCTTGCTTCGATCTCGCTGTTAGTGTGAATTGGATCTTATACTTCGCTTGTGTGACTCCTTCAGTTCTTTGTTCTGTCTTTTGGATTGTCACAATGTGTTAGGACATATTTATCAGGTACTCAAAGGCTTCGCAATCACGAGATTTTGAATAATTGAAGAATATTTCTTAATTAACAATGCAACTCGATAAGAATTGCCCACATAACACATGTAGAGATTTTCAGTCGCAATTTATAACCATATAACAGACTAACAGTACAGCTAGGTAGAGTCATCATACCTGAAAATATGATCATTTAGTGAGCTCAGTTTCATATCTTTTAAATCTGATTAAACTCGAGTTCTAGTTGTACAATAAGTCAATATACATACAGTATTGGTAACTGATGGATATATTGCCAAATGGTTAGGTTAGGGGCTAACAGTATTTCTCCCTCTCGACACGAGATCATGTCTGACAGACCTGGAGATCCCCATCGTTAAAACTGAAACTGCTTAGTCAAAGTTATCATTTAGTGGAACAAGTTTTTTTAATTCGCTTCCAGACGATTTAAAATGCATCTCGAAGTTTATAACTATATATCTTATAAAAAATCCCCTAGAAATTTCTTCATTGACTTCATTTATAAAGTTGACCATGTCAATAAATTTTGCTGTATTGCTTGAAAGCATGTTGTGCCACTAATGTAAGCGAAGAATCCAAGCTTCAATTGAATCAGTTATGGCGCAATGAATTATGAAACTTTAATCTTATTGATCTTATTTCATAAAGCACAAGTATCCATCACCCCGTCTCTCTATTACAATGCCTTTACTCAAAATCCAACATTAAATTTTATACGCTGAAGATTAAATATGTATTTTTATGACTGAATATTTGCCTTCCAGATGGATTTCTATGAAAAAAAGGAGAGCGCGAGAGATGCTATAGAACATGACAAAGTGGTATGCTTGTCAATATCATACTTAGTCCAAGGTTCATTAGATCGATATTGCAAAAATTTCACTCCCAAAACGAAGGAAATCGCATTTCTGCACCCTAAAATTTCAATGAAAATTTCAACAATGCTCTACCCCCCAAAATTTAACTTTCTTACACTTCTTGAAAGCTCAAGGCATACATTATCGCATTACTGTAGTACAAATTTACATAAACGTACTACAGTTTTTTTTTGCTGTGGAATTTGGACCTTTAAGGAGAATTTTACCTCGGGCCCCCAAAATTCTCTGGGCGGCCCTGCATGCTCGTGACTCTGCATGATAATTGCAGGTCTTGCGTAGTCTATCTGTAAAGTGTGTCCATGAAACACTTTTAGACCTTTTGTACATGCAGACTGTAACTGAACTGTCCAAGAAGTCCGTAGGCAAAGTCAAACTATAGTCAAAAATGTTGGGTAAAATACCAAAATCATTTCTATCATAAAATTTGCATGATTATATAATAATAGTTCTTTTCACATCATAGTTTTGCATAATCGTTATATTTTTGCATCGTATAATGAATGGTGCAAGCGTCTTAATTCCTGCAGAGTAATTCATGAATCATCTTTATCCCCTTCCCTGTGCTGTATTATAGTTATATTAATCATCTACAATCTAAATAGTCCGCTTTATTCCATGACAACACTCACAATGTATACCAGCTAACGCTATTATAAGATCTAACTCCACCAACTCCAATCGTACGCATTTTGAATTGTCCCCCTGCTACATTTTCAAAATATAATTTCAGGTACACAAGAAACGCGGGATTCCTACACTAAACATTAAATCATTTTTTTCTGATCAGCCTGGTGTGGATGGTGTGGATGTTGTGGCCCCTTTGTCTAAGGTATAAACACACTAAGTGGAAACATACATTAGGATGTTGTGGCACCTTTGTCTAAGATATAAACACACTAAGTGGATACATACATTAAGATGTTGTGGCACCTTTGTCTAAGGTATAAATACTAAGGTATAAACACACTAAGTGGATACATACATTAGGGTCACTCAGTCTTACAATGTGTCCCCCAATTTAAAGCAATCGCCGGGCTGCATGGAAATTGAAAAGTTTCCAACCTAACTCCGTCTATCGTATGTTCTTTATCAACAATGGTATTTATAGTGGCTTCAGCGCATCAGTTCTGCTCATAACAAAGTGTAGGCAACTTGATATACATGCAATTGCTGAAATTTCAATAGCATGTTTCGTGCATGATTTATCATTTAGAGCTACATAATAATATAGTCACTGAAATAGTGATATTTTAAGAAATATAGTTATTCAAAATGTAAACATATTTAACAAAGCATTTGCTTGCAGTACGGTCTGTACCCACCTTTAAGGTTTGGAAGGCTGTTGTTTTCAGAGCAATATGATTATGGCACCACAATCAATATACTGAATGAATTAGCGAAACTGCTATAGACGGTTGATTTCTTTGTCTGAAGCGAAAGTAACAAATGTTATCTATCCAGTATACTCATCTACACTGTAATCTGCAAACTCTAAACTCTGTGAGTTAAACGTTATGACAAAGAGCAGGAAACAGAATTTTCTGGGTATTCACAAAAATCAGGTGGAAACACAGTCAGACAATCGTACGTTGTAATAGATCTTTCTTATAATGACGTCTAACGCGGAAAGTATGGTGTTACATGAAATTTGATTGGCTCCACAAAACTACCAATCAAACTTCGTGACATCGTACTTTCCGCGTTTTAACGACATTATGAAAAAGGTCTATTTAGGTGTACTAAAAAGAACCACTCTTCTTCGTGCAGTAAAGATTTCCGGTTGATTTATTTTTAATAGGCTGAAGAATTTGCTTTGAAAAAGGTTCGGCGGAAGCTCAAAAACAAAGTAAGAACTCTTTTATTGCAGAACTAAAATACCAGAGCTTTTTTTATGTCGGCGACAGATCTAGACTGTTGTCTGTAACATAAGTATTTCTTGTTCAAACTTCATAAATACCCCCTTCAACTTAATTGAAATAGGAATGACAAAATGGTAATTGTATGAAGCCCTTGACTACATTTTAGGTGGTTAAATTATAGACTTGGTCCCAACATTATGACTTAATCCGCAGAGTACAATCTAAGCCAGACCATTTCTTTACTTTCATACGTAAACATATCGAAAGAAAATTGTAGCGTGACAATAATGCACAAGTTGTAAATAATTCTTAACCTTTTTTCTAACATTTTATAACTTCTTTAATCACATTTTATTTTTTTTCTTGAAAGATATCGGCGCAAGAGAGTAGAAAGAGAAAAAAACAACATTTAGAAAGTTTAGAAAAAAGGCAAGTTTTTAGCGGAGAATATCAATAATTAGAATAACTGGATTTACTTGTCGGAAATTAATTATTTTCGTTCTTTCCTTCGTCTCAAAGCTTTCCTTTATCTAATTAGCGTTCGCGGGCTCAAGAGCATAAATTTAGCTTGACTTTTATGCGAATTTGCTGGGTATTTTGACATGTTAAATAAACGTATATTTTTCATCATTGATGTTTTCGGAAAATCTTATGAACAATCTTATAATACTTAATAGACAATAATAGACAATCTTATAGACCTTTTCAGCTTGTATGCAAATTAAATTAAACCGTTTCAAATCACATGGTCTGAAATCATCATCATCTAGGCCTATTGCGTCAATTAGGCGCACATGGCCTGATGGTTTGAAATGGTTACGCTTTATTAGCTATTCCATGGCCACAACATCTGAAATGGTTAATTTGCATGCCATGCAAGCTCAAAAGGTCTATTTAACAGACTTTCTTTGATATTCTTACCGTATATTATAAAAATTAACTGATGAACAAAGCGTCAGATATGTTCAATATGTTGCCTTATAAATAGATGAACTATTGCATTTTGTGTTGCAGAGTTCGTTTGCTAGATTCAGAAAATTCAAGTTTAAGGACGAAATTAGAAAAGCAAAATCAATCATTGAGGTAAAAATACGTAATCATATATTAGTATCGAATTAAAATTTATTGTCGATCTAAAGTCCAATCTTCATATAATGCATTCAAAATGAATTATGATTTTTAGCACTTCACTCGATGCAAGTAAATTCTAGAGGTTCAAAGGGTCTTAATTTCGAGTGGAATTATACACATGCACTTCACATTCAAGCCAGGAACAATTGGTGAAAAAATGAGTCAACTATCGTAGGTTCGATTCCTGCCGGAGAATCGATAGTTGACTCATTTTTCCATCAACTGTTCCTGGCTTGAATTTGAAGTGTGTATAATTCCACTTGAAATTAAGATCCTTTGAACATTTTGTATTCAAAATGGTTTGTTTGGTTGTATTCAAAAATATTCAAAAGGAAAAACACAATTCGTTTGGATCGTTGAAAAATAAATTCAAATTAAGAATAAATTGAATAAATTCATCATGCACGGTCAAATTTATTATGAGACATTTTTATTTTGGGCACAGGTCACATGATGAAGTATCACATACGTGTTCAAAGTCTATTGTATTTCTACAGCTGAAATCCGGATAAATTGCATGCAGTATTTACTAAGACTCTAAGAGATAAATATTACAGTTTGACGATCGCTTTTCCAGTAACAGTTATTGTACAGGGTGTATAAAAACCCGCAACCTTTATAGTTGCCAGAGGCCTACGGCTACGATCTTTTGTTATTGAAAAAAGCGAATATTTATGAATATTTAGTTGTTGCGGTGTTTTTGGGCAGTGTCGCAGCTCATCGCAAGAATGATTTTCACTGGCTGAACTTTAAAATGCTTTCCTGTTTCAACCAATAGCATAGCTTCGTTCTTTAGAAGGCATAGAAAAGCATTATCCAATTGGACAAAAGCTTCCGAGAGCTGCGACATGTAACGTGATTGATACACACTTTATGATGAAATAAACAACCCTTGTTTAAAAGTTTCAACTATCTCTGAACCTAATAAATTTTGACATGAAGTTAAATCTTCCATTTCCAGGTCATTAACATTTCAACTGAGTAAGACTGGACCAAGAAGTAAAGACGAAATAGTCAGCTACCAAAATCAGGGAACGCAAACAGGAATTTGCCTAAAATGGTTTGTAACCGATTAGTGTTTTTGAGTAATAAGCATCATATAAACATAATTCAAAAAAGGTTTTACCGTTTCAAAACATATAAACTCTGACGATGGAATATACATCACGGGCTGTACCCACTTTTGAAAGAAAAGACAACTATAACTAAGTCAGTTGTACGTGTATACAGCATTGTGCAAAAGTTTTAGTCACAGCCGGTATTCACCAGCATGGGTTTCCTGGCTTTGTTGCATGTATGAAAATTAATTTTATTCTTGAAACCAATACAAAATGTGAACATTTGAAGACAATTCCAATAAATTATACTTTGCATATATCCCGCACGGGAAAATTCTGGGTTCTAAAACACAACATTTCCCCAAAGTTGTGATCTTTAGGGCTTGCCCAAAACTATGACAGGAGTTCCTGGAATTACATTGAAGTAATAATATATATTTTAGTTATCTTCAAAAGGAATCAGTGGATAGCACATTGGAAGATTTCAAAATAGAGACAGGAAAAAATGGACAAATAATTGTTCAATCAGACTTCGTAGAAAATCGTCCAAAAAGGCCTAGCAGTATCCGGAACGAGTATACTGAGTTCAGTAGCATTTTTCATGCTCGCAGTCTGCGAGATAAAGCTTAGACATGATAGATTTGATATCACACTAGTTGGGTTGTAGAAGAGGGCTCTGGGGAGCTGAGCTTCCTTTAATGTAAAATTTAATGTAGATTTGGGAAGGCTGAGCCCTCCTAAAATTTTTGGCAGATAAAATATTAACATTAACTAATAGAAACTTAAAACAAGCATTAACACCAATATTTTTTAAAAAATCAAACTCTAAATAAACTAAAATGAAATCCAAACGTTTCCGAATGGTGTTTTCACCCCACCCCTCCCCTCAGTGAGTCCCAGTGTCCAAGTGACCTCATGTTCTCAACAGAATCCTCTCTGAAACCTGGCCATTTTACCCCGCAATACCCGGCAATACCATGCGCAAAAACGCCTGTAACTTTGTTTAAAATATACCGCCACATGCAGTTGTCAAATTTGGCAGATGGATTTTAGTGTAAATTCTCAAGGTATAACACGCGTGCGTGCTTTACTTGTTTTCAGAACAACTTGTCGTTCGTTGACCACATGCACACTAGGAAATTTTATACTCGTGGCAGAAAATATCAAACACGTTTAATATCAGGAAAATGCGTTAAACCCACCGCACACGAGAGCTATCAGCTGAGCTAACGACCTTTCGAGGCAGTTACCTCAGCCAGAAAACTATTCGCACACGTGAGAAATCAGTTGCCTTTCGAGGCGAATTCCTCACAAAAACTATCCGCACACGTGAGTAATTTGCTGAGCTAACAGCCACGCGAGGACTGAAAAGACACCAGGTAATCAGCCCCAGGTGCTAATCGCTTACACGATGTTCTGAGTATCTATCTACAGTGTCTTGCAATGTGTTCCAGCTATTTGCATTCAACCAGGCCATCTTCGAACCGGAATGTTATACTAAATTATACTCCTACATAATACAATACGTTGTCATCGCTAAGTTGGCTAAGCCGGTACTTTGTTAACCATGAACATTAATCAGTTTGACTTGTCTTGCTAGCTTTGTATTATCCGGGTAAATACATGTTCACAAAACATAACAGGCAAGAATAATTTTTATTTAAGCGAGAGATTCGGACAATCTAACAAACTTTACAGGCTTACGGAGTATGTATACTATAGATATGTTGCTCACTTTTTATTACAGTGAACATATAAGTGTGATCAATTGAAATCAAACATTAGTATATAATCAAATTCATGTCTGAAAACTGAACTGAAGCAACTAGAGGTACTAACTCTTACCATGTTAGTTGTTGACACTTTGTTCCTTTCAACGAGAGTACTCGCGATGTCTGCCTCTTTCCTGCTTACTGCCATCGTTTTGTGCTTGTCACGATTGCCATGTTGCTCACTCAAACTATTCTCAGATATATAATCAGTCTCAATTTTAAGGCGTTCTTCATACTTCGTGCCATTCATTCCGTATTCATTATACATGGGTGTATAAAGGCAACGAGGCAAAGGTTATAGGTCGCATTTTGGTCGCGTCGAACGTAACTCAAACAATAGATAATGAGATGATAAACCTCATTAAGCTTCATTATCATATCAATATCTAATGTTTGAATTCCATTCGACGCGACCAAAATGTGACGTTTAACCTAGGCCTCAATACTCTACAGGGTGTTTCAAAAAAAACGCAACCACTTAAATATGCTAGAACATTAATACAGCTCTAAAGCGCAATAGATAAGCACCTCTGGGAATTGAAAATCTTAATCCTTCATTTAAAATGCCAAAAGTCATTTTAGCTGAACTACGGTGCAAACCCGAACAGTATTAATATTCTTGCATTTTTTTTGAGACACCCTGTGAAATTCATATTTGTAGAATCGGGATACTTGATTAGATTTATTTGTATTAGATTAAAGTCACGTGACAACTTATCACGAGGCTGTCGTTTGAAGTGTGTTCTTTCGTTTTGTATCGTTTGTGTATTTTGTATTAAAGCGATTGTAGAAAAGCTAAAGATTTGTGTGAGTTATTACATATCAGCGAAGGGGACATTACATTGGCGACGAGGATGGAATTTCGTCTAACATTATAGCCGTGAATTTGGCAAGATTACCAATCGGGAGTGTAGTATTTAGCGAAAATATTTGAAATGTCTGTCGCGGACGAAGATGGCGCAGGACAAAACGGCAATCCGGCAGGCGCTCAAGCAAGTTTATTGACAAGCGACGTCAAAGGGCTTCCTTGCTTTAACCCCAGGGAAGACCCAACGAATTTGGCTGTGAGATGGAAGCGCTGGAAGCGGTCATTTAATGTGTTTTTAACGGCAAAGGGAGTAATAAATGACAAACAGAAAGTGGCATTACTTCTGCATACGGGGGGGTTGCAGTTGCAAGAACTATATTTTACGTTAGTAAACGAAGACGAAGAGAAAGAGTTTAAGGATTGCGTCAAGGTCTTGGATGAGTATTTCGTCCCTAAAGTGAATCTACCGTTTGAGAGACACCAGTTTCGTCAAATGAGTCAGATGAACGGCGAGAAAGTGGATCATTTTGTTTCGCGTCTTAGGCAAAAAGCTACTACGTGCGAATTTCAGAACGTGGAAGAAGCAATTCGAGACCAACTAATTGAGAAATGTGGCGACTCAAAGCTTAGACGGAAGTTTCTTGAACGCGTTAATGCAACACTCAAGGATTTACAAGATATTGCGCGGGCATATGAGGCGGTAGAAGAGCAGTTGAAATCAATGGAAGGTTCGAATACAGTAAACGTTGTGAGTCATAAATCGCGTTGGAGCGGACGAAAAGAGAAAAAGGTCAACACAGATCAGAAAGAGCGCAGATACTCAGCCAAGGGGACTGGGCACGACAACAAGGATAACGTACGACGATGTTACAACTGTAATAAAACTGGGCACTTTGCTCGAGACGCAAATTGTCCAGCAAAGTCCAAGAGCTGCAATAAATGCGGAATCATAGGTCACTTCTCAGCTTGCTGCAAAAAAGCAGGGGAGAAGCACAACAAGGAGAAAGAAAAAAAGGAGGAGAAAAGAGCATATAAAGTCTCTGAGGAAGAAGGAAAAACACCAACAAGAGATGACTATGCCTTTGTTATTGGTGGGCATGGACAAAAAGATATGGGTCAGGTGGATCTAATTATTGGAGGAGTGAAACTAGAAAGTATTTTAATTGACTCAGGTGCAACATGTAATGTAATTGATTGTGAACTCTGGAACTATCTTAAAAGAAAACATGTTAGGTGCGAGTCAAGGGTATCAGACAAGAAACTGTTTGCGTATGGACAGAAAGAGCCAATCGACGTTGTAGGGACATTTACAGCAGAGATTGTGTGCGAGGCAAACAGTGAAAGATGTGTAGACGATTTCACTGTGATTAAAGAGAACGGAAGGCCTATATTGGGGAAGAAAACAGCCGAACAATTGAAAGTACTCAGGGTTGGACCTGAAGAAATAATAAGAACTGTTAACACGGTCACACAAGAGGGAAGTGATTCAGATATTCGTGAGGAGTTTGCTGATATTTTTACGGAGTCGGACTACTTAAGGATTACAAGCTGAAACTGCATATCGATGAGGATGTTATACCAGTTGCTCAGCCGGTGCGTAGACTGCCATTCGGTCTAAGGGACAAAGTAGACGATAAGTTAGACAGTTACTCGACATGGGTATTATCGAAGAATTGCCAGAAGCAACGCCTACAAGGTGGGTTTCACCATTAGTGGTTGTTCCAAAAGCAGATGGAAAGGATATTCGAGTTTGTATCGATATGAGAAGGGCAAACGAGGCGATTGTAAGGGAAAGACATCCTATTCCGACCATAGAAGAAGTTTTGTATGATTTAAATGGAGCAACGGTATTTAGTAAGATAGACCTCAAATGGGGGTTTCATCAAGTGGAACTCACAGAGGATTCAAGGGACATTACGACGTTCGTGACACACCGGGGGTTATATAGATATCGTCGACTGATGTTCGGAATTACTTCAGCTCCAGAGAAGTACCAGAAAATAATCTCAGATGTTTTGGCAGGGTGCAATGGGGTGGCAAATATTGCGGATGATCTTATTGTTTACGGGGCTGATTTATCCGAGCATGATGAGAATCTTTAAAGTACTAACACGTCTGCGAGAGAAAGGTCTTACCGTAAATGGGGACAAATGTCAGTTTAGACTTCCGGCCTTGACCTTTTTTGGCCACAAGCTCAGTGCCAAAGGGGTGGCACCAAGTGAAGAGAAAGTTGCTGCTGTAGTCAACGCTAGACCACCGCAAAATGTTTCGGAAGTTAGGTCGTTCGTACAGTTAGTACAGTATTCGGCAAAGTTTATCCCGGACTTTGCGCAGATTGCAGAGCCGTTGCGTCGTGTACTAAGAAAGGGACAGTCGTTCGTTTGGGGGTCAGAGCAACAGCAGGCGTTTGAGAAGCTGAAATGGATGATGACTAGGGCTGAAGCCCTGGCTTATTTTAGAAACGACTGCAAAACGAGAATCGTCGCGGATGCAGGGCCGGAGGGAATTGGAGCTGTGTTGCTACAACTGCAAGGAGACCAGTGGAGAGCGGTGTCGTATGCCTCCAGGAACCTCTCGGACGTAGAGCGGCGATACGCCCAAACAGAGAAGGAAGCACTTGCACTCGTGTGGGCTTGCGAGCGGTTTAATATATATGTGTATGGTCGTGAATTCGAACTGGAAACTGACCATAAGCCACTAGAGTGTATTTTCAACAAGACATCGAAACCCTCAGCAAGGATCGAAAGATGGGTATTACGGCTTCAGTGCCACAACTTCAAGGTCGTTTACCGGCCTGGAAAGACGAACATTGCCGATGCTTTGTCTAGAATGAACCAGAAGATCCAAAAGACCACAGAGCGAGAAAGAGGACGTCATCCGTTTCGTTGCCATACAAGCGACACCCGTGGCCTTAACGACTAAAGAAATAGAGAGAGCGTCAGAAATCGACGCTGAATTACAAAGTGTGCGATACTATATCGAATCGGGAGATTGGACTAAATGTAAACTGTCGGCATATGCGTGTGTAAAGAATGAGCTCTGCATGATTGGTAGACTTGTTTTACGGGGGAATCGAATCGTTATTCCTCAGATGTTGCGAAGAAAGGTTTTGGAAGCGGCACATGAAGGCCATCAAGGAATTGTAAAGACGAAAAGCAGATTAAGAACGAAAGTATGGTGGCCCAAGATGGACATAGATGCTGAACGAGTGTGTAAATCGTGTCATGGATGTCAAGTAGTCAGCCAGTATAATGTACCGGAACCCATGAAACGGACCGAGATGCCTACAGGCCCATGGCAAGATGTCGCAGTAGACTTGATGGGGCCAATGCCAACCGGAGAATACTTGCTGGTAGTCGTGGATTACTATAGTCGATACTACGAAGTTTCCATTATGCACTCAACAACTTCAGAAAAGATTATCAAAGCGCTAAACGAAATTTTTGCTAGATTTGGTTTTCCTTACTCGTTGAAATCAGACAACGGGAGACAGTTTGTTAGTGAGGAGTTCAAGAGGTTTTTACAACAAGTGAATATTGAACACAGAACGTCACCACCACTTTGGCCGCAAGCTAACGGTGAAGTGGAGCGCCAAAATCGCACTCTTCTCAAGGCACTAAAAGTGGCCCAAGTTGAAGGCAAGGATTGGAGAAAGGAGTTACCACAATTCCTTCTTGCGTATAGAACAACACCGCAAGTCACAACTGGAAAAACACCAGCGTTCCTTATGTTCAAACGTGAACTGAGAAGTAAACTTCCAGAACTTAGGGGAGATATAGACGACTTTGATGAGAACATAAGGGATCGCGATTGGCGAAACAAGCTAGTACAAAGAGCTAATGCAGATGAAAAAAGGAGGGCAAATGATAGCACTATTCTACCAGGAGACCAAGTACTACTACGGAACACTAAAACGTCAGGGAAGTTAGCTGCCAACTACGAAAAGGAGCCGTATACGGTGGTCACGAAGGAGGGGAACGAAGTGATGGTAGAGGCGGACGATGGCTCGATCTTTAGGAGAGACAGTTCATTTGTAAAACCATATAATAATCCAGTGGAGACAGCTACGGAAAGCGAGTCCCAACAACAGCCGCAACCGGATAGCGAAACGGTTATCACCAATAGACTTAAGCGGGAGATTAGATTACCCGAGCGATTCAATGATTTTATCATGGACAAACCAAAGTGATACGAAAGTTGCATTGTGTTAGTTGGTGATTTCAACCTCCCAAACATCTCGTGGCCCGACGATCAGTCTACGACCCCTATTAACAATAGTGGAGATGCAAATGGTGACGATTTGTGCGAACTTGTAGCTGATAATTTTCTTCACCAATTCATAGAAGGCTCAACACATCGTGCTGGTAATAAACTTGACTTGTTATTCTGTAACAACGCTGAAAAATTATCTGATGTATCAATATTTTCACCAGATGAACATAATTTCCCCACGGATCACTACATTGTTGAATTTAGTATACGTATGAAATTCACCAGAGCTAAATCTATTCGTCGTGTTGTCTTTGACTATAACAAAACTGACTTTTGCGCACTGCGTAAAGCTTTGTCAGAAGCAAACTTAAACATTTCCCCTACAAATAACATCGATGAATGCTGGGAACAGTGGAAAGACACGTTTCTATCTATAGTGCATAAATTTGTTCCAACCAAACTTGTGCATGATATCAACTCTCCTCCTTGGATTGACGGTGAAGTTCGCCACCTAATTCGTAAAAAGTACACTGCTCTTCGTCACTACCGAAAAAACAAGATACCCACACGCAAGATGAAATTGCGAAGTTTATGCCAGCAAGTAAAGTACGCAATTAGATCTAAACACAAACTCTACCTTGCTAAAATCGAAGCATCCTTTAAAGAGAATCCCAAGATGTTTTGGAGCTACCACAAAGCTATACTCCATCATCGAACCGCCCTAAACCCTGTAATAACCTTTAACCACATCACAGCAACATCTCCCAAAGAAAAAGCACAGCTTTTTAACACCTATTTCTGCTCTGTCTTTCGACCGTCCAAACCTACGGAGATCCCTGAAGACTCCTTCCCTTTGCTTACGTCTGACTTGTTATCTGATATCTCCATCTCAGAAGATGAAGTTGTCCACCATCTCTCGAACCTGATTCCAACTAAATCTCCTGGTCCTGACAAAATCCCCGGACAAATCTTAAAGGAATGTAGTTCTGTTATCGCGGCAAGTCTCTGTTTACTGTTTAATCACTCTCTGCAATCTGGAACTTTACCCACTGAATGGAAATCTGCAAATGTAACACCTGTCCACAAGAAAAGTAAGAAGGAACCTGCTACTAACTACCGACCTATATCCTTGCTTCCCATTATCAGCAAAGTCTTGGAGCGATGTGTTTGCTATCGTTTCCAAGAACATATTAAGGTTATGATTAACAAAGCCCAACACGGATTTCTTCACGGACGCTCGTGTGTCACCCAACTTCTAGCAACCCTACATCATATTGGACAATTACTAGACCATAACGTTCAGTCAGATGTTCTATTTCTTGACTTTGCTAAAGCCTTTGATTCTGTGGATCACGCCATTTTACTGAAGAAAATCAAATCATACGGCATATCAGGCAACATGTATAAATGGTTTACTGATTATTTACACGGACGAACCCAGCGAGTTGTCATCGATGGTGTAGCTTCAGATTGGTCTCATGTTACCTCTGGTGTCCCTCAGGGTAGTATCCTGGGTCCTATGTTGTTCCTTTTGTTTATAAATGATTTCCCTGACGCTATTCCTCCATCAACATCATCTGGCCTCTACGCAGACGACACAAAGCTTTACAGGGCAATAACATCACCCCAAGATTGTGACCAACTGCAAGAAGCATTGTCGTATGCTGACGGTTGGAGCAAACAATCGAATATCGACTTTAACGCGTCCAAATGTAAAGTTCTGACAATAACTCGCAGAAAACGTCCGATTATAATAACATACCATCTTGGCTCGACTGATTTGATGCGTGTAGATAGCGAAGCTGACCTTGGAGTCACCGTAACGAGAACATTATCTTGGAATCTTCATATCATCCAAGTCGTGTCCAAGGCGAATAGAATGCTGGGACTATTGCGAAGAACGTGCCCGTTGTTAACAGATCGTAATGCTCGTAGAACATTATATTTATCATTGGTAAAATCCCAACTGTGTTATGCAACAGAGGTCTGGTCACCCTCGCAAACCACAAACAAAGCCAAACTAGAACGAATTCAAAGGCGAGCTACTCGATGGATCCTACAAGTAAAGATGGGAGAAATCTCCTACAAAGAACGTTTGTTAGCTCTCAATATTCTTCCGTTATCTTACGATAGAGAGATAAAAGACTTAACATTCTTTTTTAAAGCTATGCATGGGTATTACGATTTGAATATTTTTGACTATGTATCACTATTGAGCCATAGTCGTACTCGTAATTGTTTAAACCCTAGTTTAATGCTTAAAGTACCCTCATGTAAAACAAGTACATTCCAGTCATCGTTTTTTAATCGTATCGTTCCTATCTGGAACTTGGTCTGTAGAACTGCTCAACCCTCAGAGCTAAGTAGCCTGGCAATGTTCAGATCGTTTCTATCAAGAACGTATTTACATTCATTAGTGTCTTATTACGACGTCGACATGCCCTGTACTTGGTCATTGCATAGAACCTGTTCATGTCATAGAGCTTAATTAACATGCGAAGAGAACATATGCTATTGCCTGATTCTAAATATTACTATGGTTTTTAAATTATCTTAGGCAACTATCTCTTTCTGATAAATTTATTTTATTTCCCATGAAAAAAAAAAAAAACAAAAAACAAAAAAAAAACAAAAAAACAAAAAAAAAACAAAAAACAAAAAACAAATCAACAACTTTGGATTTTCGAGCTTGTGCATAGCATATGTTTATTCTTCGATGCGTGTAGCTATATAACTTATGTTTCTTCTGTGTGTTATTTGTTTTTGTATATGTAAATATGTGATCGGAAGAATGCCTCGCATGGGATCTCGTGTCCCGTTGCATTTTCTCCGTTTGAACATTGTTCAATAAATTTGATATATATAGATACAAATATATTACGAAACAGTATGAACACGATAGTTCGTGTAGTTGAAGTTATGATTGGTTGTTCGAACACTAAATTGACTGGAAAGGAAGGGATGTAGAATCGGGATACTTGATTAGATTTATTTGTATTAGATTAAAGTCACGTGACAACTTATCACGAGGCTGTCGTTTGAAGTGTGTTCTTTCGTTTTGTATCGTTTGTGTATTTTGTATTAAAGCGATTGTAGAAAAGCTAAAGATTTGTGTGAGTTATTACATATCAGCGAAGGGGACATTACAATATTGTTCTTTGATCACAATAGGTTTTGGGTCTAGATGAAAAAAATCTCCTTTGTTTGTGCACTCGACTTATTTACTAACAACATGCAGGGTGTCCCGAAAAACCCCAAAACTATTGAAATCACCACCTATTGTAAAAATTTGAATGCTCGTGGGGATTAACGCAACTTATAAAATGCTAAATAGGACCACAAAGATTTAAAATTTGCTTGAGAAGAAGGACATGTCGAGGTCATGGTGCTTGAGTTGTAAATTTAAATATTGTCCATATTTGTAGTGTCTTATAAATGTAAATATTGTTGTACTAATTACTAAAATTCATTTGTGGATACAAACATATTTTATTGTCTTCATGCATAAAAATGCTTATGTCAGACATTTATCCACTTGTGGGTCACAACCAGTGGCGTAGCCAGCCCGACAATTTAGTCATGCTATGCTAATATTTTGGTGTTCATCGACTGTGAAAACAATGAATTTCTAAAGAAATGAATAACGATAATAACATAAAATTTGCATAGCATGACTAAATCTTCAGGCTGGCTACGCCACTGGTCACAACAGAGTGCTTAGGTATTCAAACTCCAGCTATTACATTGTTATGGGTGATTTCAATGGTTTTGGGGTTTTCCGGGATATCCTGTACAGTCAAGACAATTGTGCATGGCGCCACAATGCAATTACAGCCTCAAACGCCAGAGACCATGCAAAGGCCTTTTGTGTTGTTATAAATAAAGTAGATATTCTAAATATTAATTTCTGTCTTTTTTATGCACCCTGTACATGCAGTAATATATCAATCATTTGACATACCCGGTGACCTGTCGTCTATTGTTAAGTTTAGGGTCATGAAACCTGCAGCACTGTTCATACTTTTGTCCTACGAATCGAGGATTCCTTTATCTGAGGTTGCTAGTGCGCAAAATGCTTTGTACGTCGGAACATAAATCAGCTGATGTTAGATTAGCATTTTTCTTTCCCTACTGATCAAATACCTGCAGGCCTCTGTCAATCTTTTCTCAGCTCCATCCAGTATTTCCTCTTTAAAAATACGGTGCTGATTTGCATGAAAATACCGTTAAATTATAAGTTCAGATGTAAACCAGGTTTTTTCTTACCCTAAACTACAGGGTGTCCCCAAAAAAACGAAAACTATTGAAATCACTCATTGTTAAAATTTGAATGCCGTGCTCACGAATTTCCGCCCGTGGGGATTTAATGCAACTTATAAAATGCTAAATGCTTTGTGTTGCTAGAGAAAGGGGACATATCGAAGGTCATGGTCCTTGAGATGCACATTAAATAATGTTATCCATATTTGTAAATTGTAAATATTGTTGATAAATATAATTTTTGCGAACAAGCAAATTTGACTGCATCATATGCATGCATAAAAAATGCTTATGGCAACCCCGATTTATACACTTGTGGGCCCAACAGAGTGCTTGGGCATTCAAACTCTAACAATGGCATTGTTATAGGTGATTTCAATAGTTTTCGTTTTTTTTGGGACACCCTGTATAGGTCAATTATGACTTAAGCCGGTTTTCCACTAGCGATATTTTTCGCGTGAAGCGACATTTTACTTTTGTTTCAGAGTCTCAACTGCAACCATCTGGAACAAATTGCTCAAATCACAGGAAAAGTCGCTTCGCGCGCGAAGAATATCGCTAGTGGAAACCGGCTTTGAAACCCGTTAAACGTAGGCTAAACGCTCCGTTATGAAATCAGTTTATAAACTATGTTTCACAGGCTAATTTCTTTTCAAATGCATTGTCTTTACAGGTCTGTTTACTCTATTTACTCTGTTAACATGAATATATGAATATGTGCCCCCCCAATTATCGTCTCCCCTACGCCACTGCTGGTACTTGTCACAGAGATGTCTTTATAAAACGAGCCTTCTTGAGTCAACGTAAGATTTGGATCTTGGTACTCGCCTCAACGCCCGAAACATGTTCTCTCTGCATGTATCTACTGCTTGTAATACGCTAACGTATAGCTAAATGTCCCCAAAATGCTCTATGTTGAATGCAAAGTTAATTATAATGCAAATTAATTATGCATGCTACACTGTCTCGCTGTTGACCCGGCACAAAGCGACACTCAGAGTCAGAGGCATTTATTTGTTTGTTGTTTGATGATCCGTTGCTGGAAAGTCATCTTTGGCCCCAGAGTCGATCCAAGAGAAAATGTTTTATATACTGAAATATTCCTTTATGCCTCGCTATTCATCTTGACAACTGGAGACAGTTGCCCGCAGCGATATCCATCAAATTGTAAATGTTTTCCTAACTCGAAGCTCGTATCTTGCGAGAATATGCAAGCAACAACGACGTTTCCTCGAGGTGTATTCAACAACGATACAAAATGGTTGATAATCGAGAAAAGCAGCATCACAAATCTCACTAAAGACGACTTCATAGGTCTTCCTGTCTTGGAAAAGCTTGACATGAGCGAAGGAATCTTGAATTACATACAAGACGGGACATTTCAGGAGCTTTTGAACTTAAAATATGTTTCACTGAAAGACAATAAGCTCGCGTCTTTCGTGCCTGGAATATTTGCAAATCTCTCGAAATTAGAGCTCGTTCACTTGAGTAAAAATCCCTTTGAATCCCTGCCAGATGGCATCTTTGAAAACAGTCCGTTAAAGAAGCTATATATTACGCATTCTAAGCTGAATTCAACGGGATTAAACGGCATCGGCAGCGGAGGTGTGACCAAAACCATTACTGAGCTGCATGTAGATTACTCAAACATACCTCGTTTGGCAAAGAATCAGTTCAGTGGCCTATCAAATTTAGAAAAAATCGGTTTGCTTTCCTGCAATATTCAGTATATCGGTGCAGATTTCCTGCAGGGGACAAAGGTCAAAATTGTTGATTTATATAGCAACAATATCGTTCAAATAGACCCGGATGCTATGAGTGGAATTACGATTGAATGGTTTGATTGTAGATATTGTGGTCTTACTACAGAGAAAGTGTTTGGGAATGATAGTTTTTTGCTAAAAATGACTTCGCTTGAACGGTTAGATCTCGGCCACAATGAAATCACACAGGTTCCGAAAGGCGCATTTGAAGGGCTGACAAAACTGACCACTTTGTTGCTATTTTATAACAATATATCAACCATCGAGGAAAATCCATTCACCGAACTGAAACTGGAATCTTTTGGCATACAAGAAAATCCATTCAACTGCGATTGCCATCTTGCTTGGTTTCATAAGTATGCACTGGTTGAAATTGGTAATGACTTGACCGGCAAGGATGTTCTGAAGAAAATGAAATGTGCATCTCCTAGCAACCTAGCTGGCAAAATATTTCCTGATCTGAATGCGAGCCAGTTCTGCTGCACCCCAACCAAAGGTTCTGCTCCTGTTTGTGGCAACGATACTAGCAAAGCAATGACACTACGACCAATTATTAGCATGTTGCTGATGCCGTATTGCTTAATATTTTTATTTACTATTTTCCCACCATGGTGATAACATGAATAATGAACGTTTTAAATCACAGTGTGTTTCAATTAAAATGGAAGTGAATTCCGTGTGTGAACAATCGGTTTGTTTGCAAAATATGCAACGAATTGCTGGTTAAGATTTTGAGGGTATACTGTATATCATGTATTTATTTCAACTTGGGGTGTATTTAAATAATACTTTTTTGAATCATTATGTGTTCGAAGGTGGTCATAGTAACATAAAAGCATATGCAATTGGAATATGAATGTTTGGGATATACCATGATGTCTTAATAGAAATATAGAATATAGACGTAGAGAAAAACAGCACATATATAGCTGGACCGGTTGTTCAAAGTTGATCAGCTTAAACGGTGGAGAGCAGTGACGTAGAAATGCGCGTGGGGGGGGGGGCGATATTGCATATATTCATGTTAACAAACTGTAAAGACAATCGATTTGAAAATAAATTAATTATGCACAACATGAATAATACATGCATGAATATATGCCCCCACCCCCCAAAATGTCGTGCCTCCTACGCCACTGCCGTCTGCCAGATAGAGAATATGAAAAAAAAACCCAGCAAAATAAGTCCGGCTAGAAAACTGCGATCGCAGTTTGATCCAAGAATGAATCCAAAGAATATTATGGCCAGCGACAACAATGGTACCTTTCGGCATGCAAAAACTCTGCGCCGTGTGCCGTCCCTGATATGGGGCATACTGATTATATACGCATTTTGAATCCCTCCAAAAAACCTGCCATGTTGTATTGAGCACGTGTCGCGTTATACAGAATAAAGGAACGTACACAGAAGGACAACTCACCCTGCTCAGAGCATGACTCGCAATATTATACACTGGCGGTCAAAAAGAACTGCTCAAATGTTGCTATTATCGTATGTAACAGGAATCGTGACAATCAATCTTTTATTGTAATAGCGGTCAAAAAGAACTGTTTAAATACAAATTGATAAAAAAGATGCGAATATAGGAGAGAGCTTCATAGGCATTTTGGATAATTCTCTTATCCCAAGCGATATTTCAACAATATAATGCAACCTGCCACACCTCCAAGACAGTCAAACAATGGTTTCAGGAAGAGGGAGTGACAGAAATGGATTGGCCTGCACAGTCAAAAGACTTAACCCTATTGGAAATCTGTGGACAATGTCAAGGGGATAGTGCAAGAAAGGAATTAATTCATAAAGCGTCCCATGATTTATGGGTTGCTGTAAAGACTGTCCATGCATAGGATGAACTTCTTTTGACCGCTAAGATTACCACCTTAACAGAAAGTATGCCACGCCGGTGTAAGGCCGTCATCAATTATAAGGCCAAAGGAGGGTCAACAAAATATTAATATTTCATCTAGCTTAGCATGCAATCTAGTCTGCAGTTCCGTTAATTAGTCACACCCATACCCTTCCCGGATGTATCCTTTTTATCGCCAAGATAGAACCTGGTCTAAAATAGTAAAATGCCCCAATCCTTACAAAAGCTACAAAAGAGACAACATGCTAATATAAGGTAGCTGCCTTGTGAAATTATCTGTTCAACAAATTGTTCTGGCTCAAAAAGGCTGCCAGATACCCGCGAGCACTCACGGAACGGGATAAAAGGAAAGTACCTGGGCACGAGATAGTGAAGAAGCCCCCATACTTATCTGATGATTGAGCTTCCTAGAAGAGAGGGCAGAAAGGGGTGGCAGACAGACAAGCGTCAAGGCAATTGAATTTATGAAGTATAGTTTAGTCTTGGTGTGATTAATCTTTAGTTAATCTCACAACTGCTTTGTAATACTAGTAATTGCAACTAACTCGAACATGTACCATGCTCGATCGTACCAAGTGCTTTAATTCTATCACATGACCCCTGTTAACTTAAATGGTTTATTTCACTTAATATATACAAACATGTGTTCAAAAAATAAAGACGACATATTGTCAACGTATCTCAAACGTTTCTCGGTCACGTGTCCGTAATTATCTATATCCCTCAATATCAATGTTTGTTCTAATATACTCATATATAATGATTTTTGGCACTTCACTCGATGCAGGAATATTCTAGTGGTTTAAAGTGTCTTAATTTCGAGTGGTACTATACACACTTCAAATTCAAGCCAAGAACAGTTGGAACAGGAACAGAATATAAATATGCATATATCAACAACCCCGAGGTAGGAGATCCCATGAGATAGCACAGCGCATGCGCAGGTTCATTGCACGTGTTGTGCGGGTTCGCGAAAGACACACGAACAAATTTTTTGTCGGTTTTTCAATGAAACATCGGCTTTAACGCAGTTAAATTGGAAGTTGTTGGAATCAAAGAACTAAGCAAATCGAATATAGAGGCCTGGTATGGTATGAACACACTGAAATGTTTGCCCAAGTGCACTTATTACTCATACCAAATTTCATTTAACTACGAACTTCTTTCACCTGTGGGAAGTTAAGGTACGTTCACACACAACGATTAATCGGGCCGATTTCTGGTTCTGCTGAATGATAATGGCGATTGCTGTCATTTGGTTATGTCGTCAGATGACGTTTACTGCGAATTTTTTCAAATGTCATTTATGTAAACCCCAACCGGACCGATTAATCGTTGTGTGTGAACGTACCTTTAGACTTTCTTCTGTATAGTCTGCGGTCATGACAACGATATGAACACACTTAAATGTTTGCCCAAGTACACTTTTTACTAGAACCAAATTTCATCTAATTACGTTCTGTCACCTGTGCGAAGTTAGACTTTCTTCTTTTTGCTGCTATCTCAAGCACAACCAGTGACGTCATAACTCAAAATACAAAAAGTGCGATAACTTGGGAATGAGTTGAGATATGAATGAACTATAGCTGTCATTTTTCATCATTTTGAAGATACGTTCAAATAATGCAATAAAATATTGGGTAAAATTTCGTTTCATAACCAGCTTTCTAAAAACATTCTCTCATCCTCAAAAGCGTTGAATTCCATACAAGTGGCTCTCTACCAATCAATTTTGTGCTTCGTTTCCATATGATGAACCGCAATTCTGTTCGCCACGTCTTGTTTCTCTGTTGATCGCTTATGTTCTTTAATGCGAGAATCGAGAGTACGTCCAGTTTCACCAACATAAGTTGCGGGGCATTCACTTTGTAAACTGTTCACGCGGACGTCAATTTGACGCAACATAAAACTGTAAATTTGCAATTGTAATATACGTCTTTGATAATGGCTTTCGTGTAGCAAGCCGAAACGTCAGAATTAATAATAAAAAATTTAATCTGGATGATCACACAATAAATTAATGAAAGACCCCGGATTCAAGCCACACAGATATTGTTCTTTGTTATTTATTCCTAAAGTAGTTACAATCGGGTTGCAAGTGATACCCACTAAATAGCTACTACATAGATGCAGTCAAACTAGATATATTGTCTTGCTTTTACGCTGTTTCTAGTTTAGACCGTTTAAATTTGTTAAGTGATTTTAAAAGCCATGCTTTAGTCCTTGGTCTCTTCGTAAGTTGCTTTCAAGCCCCATGTAGAAAATCCTTTCCATAGTCCGCTTGACGTCTTCCCAGATTTGAAGTAGATTGTATAAGGAACATCCATCTTGGTCTCGTTCACCACTGCGTTACAAACAACTGTGGAATGAGGTCCTGCCATAACAGGAAACTTAGCATAATACTTTTTGGCATTTGAACCGGATGTTCCCCAACTGTGGGAGTAAGAACCGGTCACAACGACATTCGCTTCTCCTTCGCCCACCATTGGAATGCCACATTTAAATTTTGTTCCAACGGAAATTGTTGCCCCAGCTTGATGCGAAAATGAAAAACTTTTGGTAATTGTCTCATCAAACCAGAATTCCATACTCTGGTTGATAGTACTGGCGTTATGATTTGTCTGTTTTGCGATTACCTTCGGAGTCGTAGAAAGCATTTTTGCTTCGTCAACTTTGTATTCGACACGGATTATCTCATCATCATTTATTATCTCATCATCATTTAAAACAAGAACTTCAAAATCGTGAATGCGGTGCTCCTTGCTACCGTAGGGGATGCATGCTCCCTTAAGATTCCCATCGTATTTCTTATCCACTCCAACTTTTCCAGGAATCATCTTTCCTGCAACTACGCCCCTTGCATGGTATGAAGGACCTCCATCGTAGCCTCCTTCCATAGCATTTTTTGGTGGCTTGTCACCAGTTTTGCATCTCACATAGGATGTTTTCAATGTTGATGTGAGCACCTCGAATGTGTGGACGCGGTGCTCTTTTGATCCGTAAGGAATGCACGCCCCTTTCAAACCGCCATTTCTAGGCGAATCTACTCCGACCTTGCCTGGAATATTTTTCCCAGAAACAATTCCTCTCCCGTGGTAAGATGGTCCGTTATCATATCCACCTTGAACAGCATTTGCTGGCGGTGATTGCCCTGTTGAACATAGGACATATTTGACAGGACTCGGAGTTTCAACTGGTTTCAATAACTGTTAAGGAAAAAAAATCAAATTTCAATGAATCCTAGCAATGAATTACGTTATTAAAAACAACCCTGTTGGAGATCTATTCCTCCGACACTGTAGTTTATACTTCGCCTATAGCTAGATAGTCAATTAATGGACGACAAATTGTAGCTATTATTGGAGCAATCGCCGGCACCGTAAATATCATGCATGAATGCGCATTATTTTGAATGTATTATGCAAGCTTTTTCAGACTTAGTTCCCCATACTAACATTCCTTCACTGTTCTTTTCTACAAAATAATATACATATTTTGCTCTTTTCTGCGGCTCAACCTTACCCCACTTCAGTTAAACAAAACTGGATTTACATGAGCCGTTTGTATGCTTCAAGTCTTTGGTCTTGATATTTTTAAGTACATAGTTCCAAAAAAACGTTATTTAAGTTTAGTACTTTTCCCTAAATATTTTTTGCTGTGCAAAATCACGAAATTTGCTGCAAAAGGGAGGTAAATGGGGTTAGGCGAGTGCGAAAACGTTCTGATTTTTAAAGCGAGTGATTTTTTACTCCATGCATAAATTGACACGACACGGATTAACATTTTAAACAAGTTTAAAACCGATTTCCATTTACTGTTAAAACGCCGTTCTGTTGACTACGATATTTCAAATCTTAAGACAACCTTAACCTATATATATATTCGACGTGAATTTCTATTTCATTCAGTTTTATAAATTGACTGATCGAGGTGATCAGTTTTCATATTTACTCGATCTTATCCACTCTTGGTCTGGTGTTGTATTAACTTTGTTTCTTTGTTATATGTTTGTTATGTTGTGCTTTGCATTGTTGTTGTGTTAAGTAATTATTCGGTCCGCGGTAATTGACAACTAGCTGTTGCGGCTCCCGTGTCAACTTATTGTTATCACATTGGCAAAGTTATTAAATTAAGTGCTACATGGTGTTCTTGGTGGCGTGGGAAAATTTTAAAACAAACAACTAAACAAGAACAAAAACAGTCCTTTAATGGTTGACTTTTTTACCTCCTCCTCCGACTTGCCTAGAGACATTTGGATAAATGGAAAAACGTGGATAAATTTCTCCCAGAATTTTGGACCTGAAATTAAAGATAAAACAACTATCAGTTAGGAAGAGCAAACTAAGAGTATTTGAAGACATTCTCGCATCAAAAGTGTGCAGAAAAGCTAAAAAATAAAGACGATAGGCAAACAAAACGCTGCGTGCTTTACGCTTTCAATTAGCAAATTTCGGTAACAGTCTGATCAAAATGATGTCGTGGTTTCAAAGTCAAACATTTACACCACGATTTTGCATGCCACCGAGCAAGTTGCGACTTGCGACCGGTGTCACAGTGATTTGGGTTAATGGGTTTCCCCGTGAAATCTGTTTGCCTCGGAATAAAATCAGCATAAGAATAAGAATAAGACCATAAGAATAAAAATAAAATCGGAATAAGATCGGGTGTGGCCAGGTAGGGGTGTTTAAGAACATGACATTACAGTAGCTACCTTTTCCTGGTAGGAATGCACAAATATGTATATAGATGTATTATATAGATGTATATAGATTGTACTCAAGTTTTACAGGTATTGCAAGTCTAAAACTGAAAAACTAAATAAAATCAAAATTGGTATTGTAAAACCACAGGCAGCCCGGTCACTGCTGTTACGTCATGCTATTACATATGTATATAATTACAATATACATATATAATAGCATGACGTAACAGCAGTGACCGGGCTGCCTGTGGTAAAACTGAATGGTTTACATTATTCAAATTTTCATCAAATAATTTCAAAACATACACAAAAATACTATAAGTTAAATAAAAATAGGCACTCAAAGAGTGCATAAGGATTTGCAAAACGCATATCAATGTTTTGTTTATTGCGAATGGCGATTGCATGAACATAGCAGCCCAATGTTATGGTTGCCTGCGCACGGGCACATATGGCGTAGTGATAGTTATATAATAGTATATAAAACCAATTCCCGAACATTCAAAGCCGTTTCCTCAACGTTTAACCTGCTTGTATTCTTCAGTTATATTAAAATTGTTGAAGATATTTCAGCGTTTTTAAAGACAAACGCAGTATGTATTGATAAACGCACGACGAAATTGTTTCAATGCTTCCGTTACAAGCAATTATATTTTCTAAAGTTCTATGAGTGAAAAATGGAACTATTAAATGGAGACACTACCTTCAATTTTGTATAAAATCCCGCTTCTTTTTTAGGGCAAGTAAAAAAAATTAGCAGTTTCTCGTCCGAATTTTTGAAAAAGAGGAGAACGCGGGCACTTTTATTTTTTATTTATTATTTATATTTTCAGTGAAAAATTAATATGAAGCATATGGTAAATTAAATAAATATAGAAAAGTGTCACTGGAATTAAGCAGCAACTGCTTGCAACTTCGATTTTGGTACAAATGTACGCAATTTGCAATTGTTAAGAATGGCGCCAGGCGCATGCCGCGATGGTTTCCGAGCACTTCCGAATCATTTAGCACTTTCTAATTGTTTCCGAGCACTTTCGAATCTTTCCTGAGCACTCCCAAAATATGCGGAAAATGGCGAATATAAAAATAATAAATAAAAGAAAAGTGGATGCGGCAGGAAAAACGCATGCGGGGGGGGACGAGAAACTATTTTTTTTACTTGGCCTTAGTTTAGCGAATTTGGCTTTTAGAACCTTTCCCACTTGTATTCCCAGCAGAAAATAGCCATTTGTCCCTTTGCTTAGCTCTAAAAAATTGACTAAATCTTTAGTTGTTCGTGCATTTACGAAAATAAGCGGTATTTTTTGCCCAAAAGATCGCAAATATTCACAAACTGATTCAACGGTAATGGCAGATAATAGTTTCCGACGGTTCGCGAATTTTTGAGTCCTCGAAAGATATCGTAGTTATACGTCACATTCTTACTATCTATTTATCTATCTTACACAGACGATGACATAAAGGATTTTGCTTAACAAGCAAATCCTTAAAAATACATACTATCGCTCTTCACACGGCCGCCATCTTTATTCCGAGGGAAACAGATTTCACGGGGAAACCCAAATCACTGTGACGTGTTTGTTCGCAGATGTTAGAGACCTTTAGTTTGACGTTTATGGCAAACGCCAAACCGCTAACAAAGTTTGTGTTTTAACTTCACTCTCCTTAAGTAAGCGGCAATTTCGCTAAATTACAAACGTTCTGCATAAAACTTGTGATGTTCAGCAGTAATGTAAGAAAGCAATAGGCTATTTCTGATGTATTTAGAAAAGCAACAAATTCAGATTTGCCGTATATGTTTCACGTTCGCCGTATAAAATTTAATGCTTGAACGGCTGAGGGTGTATAAGACCATCAAGTGCATTATGTTCTATCATAAACCTATTAAGTTCAAACTTTAAGTGCACACAGGTATCACAGTGCCATACTACATGTAGGCCTATATACATGTAGGCCCATATATATAAAGGGCCTGCTCCTGCTTGCTGGGAAATTGTAAAATGTGTGTCAACTCTCATGCTTTTACACATACTGTATTTTTTCAATTACCTTAAAAAGCAATTTGATAATTAATGAAAAAGATTTAAGTGGAGCATTTTAGAGGTAAATAAGTTAAAATAAGCAAATTTGAGCACGGCAAACATTATTTCTTACATACTGTACATGATACATTTATGACTATATCATGTATGACTGTATGACTATAACAGTGGATGATCAATTTACTTTTTTTGAATAAGCTCTTCAATTATTAAACATATAAAAAGATAAAAGAGAGACAATTTACAACTTATCTAATGTACTAGAGTAACATAAATTATTTATACTTGATTGAATCAGACCAAACTGGCAATTATTGATGGATTGAACTCAATCGATTTCAATCCTTCGTAAAACATGCCCATCCGTATTTTTGGAAAGGTGTAATATCTCTTTTATCTTCCTTTAAAGTTTAAACTATGATTTAATTATTCTATATAAAGCCGTTTAATGAAACGATAACTGTTTATAAAGGATGATGAAAACCACCATATGGCGGCCATCTTGAATGCAAATATTAACATGCCTAAAAATCTTTCCTCGCAAAATATGTAAATATTTTCATACACATTAAATTACTAGCTAGTAAGAATATAATCCCGTGCTTTTGGGCTTATATTCTACACAAACGTTCTTTGATAGAACCTCTAAAATCGCTATACTTTCAGTTTCGCAATATTAAATATATGATAATTAGTGAGAGCTATAAACGTATATGATCGTCTTGGTATAAATATTTATAAGTCTTATAAATCTAGTATTCTCTGTATATAGGCAACATAATTATACTTACTTTAAAATCAAGCGACAATATCCTTAAAAAAATCTTCTGTAAATAATACGTATGACTCCAGCAATAGCCAAGACAAAACGACAGAACACGCTTCAAACAGTAAAAATTTTACAGCGGGAAGAGACGATCAAAGACGAACACGTGTTCAAAGTTCAAACAGATATCACGTGTCACTATGAATAATATATAATATATATATAATATATATATATATATATATATATAATATATATATATATATATATATATATATGTGTTGTATCCAACACATGTAATTCAGTCTTAAGACTGCGAGATGTTGTTTTTAATAAACTACTACTACTACTACTACTACTACTACTACTACTACTACTACTACTACTACTACTACTACTACTACTACTACTACTACTACTACTACTACATTCGAAAATGGCAACGTTGTATCTACGTTATTTGAATACGTTTTGCTTTGACGTCGTCTCGACGTTAACAAAGGACGTTGCGCAAACGTTAAATAAATACCTGTGTCACACGTCCAAGTTCTACGTCGCTACAACGTTATTAACACGTATAGTAATATCGCGACGGGAAAACAACGTCGTGGGAATGTCGTGGTTTAGTTAGGTCTGACCTGACATTCCCACAACCTTCCGCTAACGTTGGGATTACGTTGTGTGTTAGCTGGGTATGCAGTCGTTCAAGCATTAAATTTAATTTTTATACGGCGAACGTGAAACACATACGGCAAAGCTGAATTTGCTGCTTTTCTAAATACATCAGAAATAGCCTATTGCTTTCTTACATTACTGCTGAACATCACAAGTTTTTTGTAGAACGTTTGTAATTTAGCGAAATTGCCGCACACTTAAAGATAGTGGAGTTAAAACACAAACATTGCTAGCGGTTTGGCGTTTGCCGTAAACGTCAAACTAAAGGTCTCTATTTCGACGTGTAGACAGTGGCGTAGCTAGCCATAGCAACTGGTGCCGCTTTGCTGTGTTGAACGATGCAATTTTCCTTGCAACTTGCAATGCAATTCTACTCTTGAGAGATGTAGTGTTGGCAAATACGACATTTTATTACGCTCTGCTGACGTTCTCTTGACATTTCGCAAGGAAAAGTGTATATTGTAACAGCGCCTTAATTAATATGAACTGATCTCCATACATCGTAAACAATTAAACAATGCATTTGTAAATGCTTGAATACGTAATTCATTCAAAAATTTGCAGAGCCAGTTGCTTAGGCTAGGTTCGCCAGTAGAAATAGATTAGTATTATGCGTGTTGTGCCGTTGTGGAGAATTGCCGTTTAAAGATTTACACTTACTACTCTACTATACTAGAGTAAATTTAATTACATATTCATATTGCAATGACTTAAAATATTTACCCTTTTATCTTCCTTCGTATGAAACAAAACCTGCTCCGATTTAGTATAATAGAAACGTTCTCTGCTCAAAATTTTTAGTCAAAAGAGCCTTCGACCACCAGACTATATATGGTCTCCAACATGTAAAGACGGAGATCCGGAGTTCTTTATATACAGGGTGAGTAAAAAAAACTGACACCTTTGAAATTCAAATTAGCTGCAAACTTATTATATGGCTGGAATATGACAATTCCCATGTACAATCAACAAAAGCGATTTGACAAAACTTTTTATAAAAGCGATTTGATAAAACTTTTCTTTTGTATTTACAGAGCTTAGAATGCTTTTTAACTCCCAATGGGAACAAACTTTATGCTTTAGGTTAATTAATATGATATGCTTCGACAGCTTCGTATACCTATGAATAT